TTTGCGCTGAACGCATGCGCTATGTAGACTGAAATCACTAAGCGCTAATGCAACGAAGGATCAGGCTCCAAATTAGTCGGCAATAAGACAACTTTTTGAAGCTTAATCATACTTCTTCCTTGAGTATAAAATATAAAAAAGACGGGATTCTCTTTTACTTGACTTAAAGAAAGCATATTTTTGTTCATGGTTTCTATGGGATATATTTGAATTTGCAAGACCATCGAAAATCGATGGGAAAAATGTATGCTACTTAAGTAGTCACTTTTAACGAGTACGGTTTCTACTGGGGATTGAAAAGCAGCGTATTCAAAAGCTGGCATCCTGCTGAGTACGAGGTGTTATAAAATTATGCTGTACACTAATAAGTATTACAACCGCGCCCAAGTAATCCTTCCTAATCAAAAACGCATTTCAGAATTCCAGCCAACATTTCATGTGGTCGGTCACTCACTGTAAATGCTGATGGCTGTCCGTGTACTCTAACGTCAGAGCCAACTTTATGGGAAATGTCCGAGGCTTGCCGTCAGTCAAAAACACTACTTTTATCATTTTTCCCAGCATTGTCTCAGTGAAGAAGAAGGCAAAGACCTCAATGTGTCACCACATTTTCTTTGCCGTCTTTGGCTTAAGGGAAATGACTGTGCCTGAACATAGTCGACAAAAATGTGAATTTTTTTCTCGCGTCAAACGTCCCTGGAGAAATACTTCTCGTGCCTCTGATTTCTAACAGTCTACTTTTATTCTGACTCCGATTGATAGGCATTGCAAGAAAGAATTCAACAGGCGAAGGCCGGCACCCAGGTACCCTGATTACCGAGGCAGCTTCATTAAGTACGTCACGACTAAAAGTCCGAAGATTAGCCTGTCTTCTGGCAATAAGCTATGCCGCAGATGGTATCATTTTATGAATATAGGTGCCTTGTACGGAAGCGTACACCGCCAGAGTGTGGTTATTCACTAGTTCAATTGATTGACACCAGAATCGCAGAGTCTGCTGTGAAATGTTCCAATTCAATGTCCACAGCCTTGTTCGTAACATTTATCGATTGCTAATTACGGTCTGGGAGGCCGCGCTCTTGAGCACTAGTTTCGGAGTCTCGATGCAAGACGCAAACGCCCATTCCCCCCCCCCCCTGCGATCAGGACAGGTCTGAAAAAGCCTCTGTAGCGTGACTGTTTTCGATTGTGCTAATTTCCACATCGGTTGAAATCTAGGTCTGCCATCTAGGGTCTGATGAATACTCCTAAATACAAACACCAGGATCATAGAAACAGCTGGTCCCTGGAGGGGTTTTTTCTTCATGCGAATTTTTTCGAATGCTCGGCGACGTAGTTAGACACACTAAAGATTAAGATAGCTCACATGTGGAAGAAAAATTACCAAAGAAAGTGGAGACCGGGGTGGTCATTTCTGACCTATTGACTATCGTCATCTAGCCGCATCCCAACCCAAGGTTTGAGGGAAATCCCGGCCGCGACAGACAGTAGTATTACCCAGCGACTTGATGGGGGAACGTTTGACCTGACGCTGAATGGACTAATGATGTGGGCCCAAGCCGCGAGTTGTACAAGTTGAATCAAGACACATTACTTAAATATGTGACCCAAATTAAATTGCAATAACATTTCTACTTAGCTGATTTAGGTAGGTATGTACAGTATGGTGAAAGTTGCGGTTAAGTCTACGAAGACGATTACAGCTAGCGTTAGGTCTAAGGTCACGGTAAGGCTAAAATTTAGGTTGAAAAGGGTTATGGCTGGGGCTAGGGTTTAATTTGCCTGACACATATTGGCTTACCCAGTCAGGCCCTCTTTAGCCTCGGATTACCTGTTTTCTGTCAATTTACACGCCCCTAATTCACAATTTTCAAGCTGCACGGTCTGCTTCCGCACCCCGTTGGAGTAATAAAACAAACATATGGCAGAAGTACGAGTTCCCTCAACGCCTTCCAGAGATTCCGTTAATTTCCGCTTTTATCTGTCCTGCTAATAAACCTAATATAAACATAATACTAGGGGCACTATGTTCAATTTCGTCAGAGGACTTTACTGTTCAATCCCCGCCAACAGAAGTGGTTATACCTGCTTGTCTTGTCACTGTCGATATTTATTCAGTCTAAGAGTTTGCCATTCGGAAATATATCACAATAGTACGTCTCCATCGAGAGCCAGCCAGCGTCAGCTGGGCGAGTTTATTGGGTAGAGAAGTCTAAAAGAAAGTGAGGCGTTCACCGGGAGATGTGTACTGGAGGCTTGACGTTTCGAGTAGTTGTTTCGTCTACCCACCCTCAGAGACTGGGAAGTCATGCGCACAGCTGTCCTTATATGACACACTTTGTTTGATGCGTGGCCGACCAATGGCGCCTGTGTGGCTGCACCTGACCCGCATGTCACCGTGACCTGAATCGCCATCGCCCTTGTCGGCCGCACAGATAGTTGACGACCCTGAATGTACCGCGCCGTGACTGCCCCCCGTTAAGAAGTTTCGTAAAGCCAGATAGGGGGGAGGAAAACTGATGTGGCGGTTGACTGAGCAGTCGGTGGACATCCAGGCTTCTTGCATCTGCCTTATCGTATGATCATCGCCGCGGCCCACAATCTCAACGACCTCAAAGTTGAAGGTGTGTCCCATTTGCGCGGCGTGGGTTGCTACCTCTGACTTTGGGTCCAATCTTCGCACGGCGAACTTATGCTCGTGCATGCGTGTTTGCAGCCGTCGGCCGGTTTCCCCAAAGCAGTCGCACTTCCCGCAGCTGCATTGAAACCGATAGACAACATCCGACATCTCCTGTTTAGGGATCCAGTCTTTAGGTCTCATCGCTTGCCGGCGGATTGTTGAGTCGGGCCTGTGGGCAACGCCTATTCCGTGCGGCGCGAGGGATCTAGCCACGACTTCGGAGACCCCTGTGATTGATTGTGTCCGGAGCCGAATTCGCGCATGCCATACCCGCCAGAAAGGCGCGATCAGATGTTGTTTCATTTATTCAGCTATTTGCATAAACAAGTTTTACGTATTTCTACAGAGTGAGTTTATTCCTTTGACATGTACTTTCGCGTTTTCGGCCTTTCCGCTTTCCTTAAGGCTTTTATTTCTGACCAACGCAATTAAGCCTCAAATACTTCTTTTGTACTTTCACTTAACTGAAGGTCGTTGATCACTAAATAGGAGTTTTAGTCGGTGCATTTGAACCGTTTTCCAATTGCCCAGATAATTTTCTTCAACTTATGCAGATTTTATGATTGGCATGACCTACTAATTTATGAGGCAGAAGCATGTCCCGTCACGCCCTAGCAGAATTTGTAGGCAAAAATACCGACAAAGACAAAAGTGACTTGGATGGGCAGTTCTGACAGTAGAGTTATCTTAAAAGGTCGAATAATCGAACTTAATGCCTCGCTGTGGAATGAGTGCAACGTTTGTGCAGGCAACGAGCTGTTCAACGGTGCGAGCACAATCTTTGCATACAGGCATCAAGAGGGCGAGCAGGCGGCATCAATGACTCACCTCCACCCCTCCATGGCGAGTAACTAGCGTTATCTGACTTCGAAATTGCCAACTACCATAAGCCGACGTTGAACAAACAGAATTCATTAATTTTCTGAATTGCACGGTCGTAGGCACACACTTCTGAGTCTTTCCACTTCAAATTTTAATCGTACAAATCACACAAAATACTGAACACTGCCCAAATGAAGCAGGCGACCTGTTGACAAGTTGAGCTCCGTTAACTAGCTCTATTTCATTTCTTATCTGAGGTCCCTTTCCTGCCTTCCAAGAAAGCAGTGATTACGGCATTGCGTAATTTTAATGTCTGAGGTTTTAAGTACATCCCCTCAGTTATTGACGCCGTTTTGGCATTTGTACTTTTCATTCCGGCTTCTCTGTCGAATGTTTAACGTTGTGCGAAGTCTAAATCTTCGGTACCGGAAATACTGAAGTCGGTAGGGGGGGGGGAGTCCCGGGAAGATGGTAGGGATCACTGAATGCTGATCGCATATATTTTCTGTATATTTTTAATGTATGTTCAGTCAGCGGACGTTCACAGCTTTTCCGGGCATACTTTTACCCCTTCCATATCCATAAACGAACATCGGCTTACCAATTGAAAGTTTTTTTTTAAATAGAAGAGTTCACCGCATCAAACATCTTTTTGGAATGGAGCCGGATCAATCGTGATTAACTACTTATAAGGAACAACAAAAACATTTAATAAGCCATATTTTGAGCAATTTGACATCTGGTCCTAACCTCTTCGGTTATGCTTCCTGACCTCAAGGAAAATAAGTTAGCCTGAGAGGTATATTTGCAAGCGTGAAGTGCCCATAAACCCACATGAAACGTTCCTCAGGAGGTTATAGCGTTGGTTGCATTAAAGCCCTTCCCTCACTGTCGTGGGTTCGAATCCCACTGAAGCGGTGGTTTTTTCACAGTCAGGTCAATATGAATTATTCAAAATCTGCCAAAACACTTATGTATCACGTTATAGTGGTTGAATACTCAGGAGGACGATGCTAATCTTGTCGCTGTACGAAACAGATATCTAGGAGTGCAGCCTAAACCTACGAGTGATGGTTATAAGTGTTCCTTTAGGTGCGCGATAGCATTTAACTTGCAGACAATCGACCAAGTTTCTAGTGCATAAACAGTTGAACATGTTAGCCTATTTTCGGAAAACTAACACACACGTGCGCGCGATCAAGGCGACCAAATAATGTGCTTGAAATTGCTTCTTTAAAGACAAAGCATACGATTCATTTTGACATCAGAAAGCATCATATTACAAACTGGAGATTTTATTAAGACACAGGAGAAAGCATGATTAACAAGCAAAAACATGAAGATGACAAAGAAAACGGAAAGCAAGGGGGTAATGCGGATATTTTATCAAGATCTTTTTTGTAAAGAAACAGAAAGATAGTAGAAAAATTAAATGCGGTACCATACGGTGCGAACGAATAGATGGCGCAGGTGGTGTATCCAAACCGGGACAGAAGAATCACATTCTAAAATGTGAAGTATGGAAATATGTAAAAGTTAATCTTACCGGTGAATTGAAATAGGCGGTGCAGCGCCCCGGTAATTTCGGCCAACCACACTGGGCGACAAAGAGTATACTGACGAGGCATCGGGACTACTTGGGCATCGAACAACTATGTCTGGGGGCCTCTGTAAGGAAGACAATAACGGTTACTCACTTCCATTTCAGTAATTTTGGCAGTGGGATTTAAGTGGAGGCACTAGGCTAGACATGGTTAGGACGAATACCATAACACAGAACTCTGATGTAGTAAGCGCCTCCTAAGCGTTAAGAACCTGGAGTAACAAACTGGTGGAATATGAGTGCATCTGGTGGGAGAATGTGGCATTGTGGCGGTTCTCGAGGACGTCAGCACAAAGAAATACTTGAGTAAGACAGCCTACTGAGGAGGTCGAGTGAATGCAAATACGCTCCTAACTGAATGGCATTTTTTGCATTTTATCTGACAATAAGTGGAACTTGAACAAAGACAACCATACGATAGGTATCCAGTCGGGCCATGCACAAGTCTCGTGAGAACGCGGTTTTTGGATCATGCGTGCAAACTCTGAGGTTCATCAAGTACCCAGAGCCTCGGTTTACATTGTTGAGACTAATATAGAAAAGGGTGTTGCAAAATGGGGTGTAAGAATAAATAACTATAAGCACACAGAGTGAAAAACACGTTCTACAGCAAAGTTTGGCCGAATAACCACAGACATCGTCTGCGATAGTCCAGCGAGTCGATACGATCGTCTATCAACTCCCTGAGCCAACGGCATGGCAGATTACGCAACATCCGAAAGCAAACTCCATGTTTAGAGGAATAATGAGTAAAACAGGGCCTACTTAAACAAAAATAGTAGGCATTCTTTGTATGCCGTAGATACTCTATTGTTACCCAGAGGGTATTCTGTTGTCGTCCGACAACGTAAGTTGCATGCAGAGAAAATCAAGGGTCCGGGAGTATTTCGGTGAATAATATATTACGAATCAGTTTCAACCGTTTTTGAGGTTGAAAATGATGAACCGTTATTCACACGTTTAAAACCACATACTTATTGATGGTTAAACAATCCCACACGGAATAGGCAGCACCATTGCGAAAGGTTTGACTTGAGAGCGAGATAGACACGAATACAGATCAACTTGCACAAGCGGCAATCACAGCTGCGATGGTCAGGTCCTAAAGCCTTGACACGAATTCGAGCTGCCGTAGCTTTTATTCCGTCTTGAAAAACGTTTTGACTGTGAGAGCTCCTAATTTATTTTGACGGTGTCATAATGAAACTGTTCTAGTTGGTAGAAGGGTCTAACTATGTCAAATGTCCGCGGACTTATCGATTGTCGGCACAAAGAGGTTTGGGTTGCAATGCCGGCAAAAAAAACTCATACAGATTAAAATAGACCCGCCATGTGAGTTGCGAAGTAAGAAACGCTGACTAATTCACACCGCTGGTACGCACAGCTGCAGCAGATCAGTGGTTGGTGCGAAAAGAGGTATCCAGCTATAGTGTTTGTCTTGATGCGAGCGGCTTCGGGGTTTTTTTCTCCTTATCTTTTGCGTCCTTCGAAATAGGCACGGTTTCCCGCTGCGCATTACGAATGCTTCATGCTAGTAAATGCAAGCACTGCACTGTTCTCAGACACGGCGTCATGTAAAACGATGCAATTAATTTGCGAATCTTTCAAGACTGCAATCTATCGCTTAGAAAGCATATCCCCGAGAAAGATAAAGACTTACCGAGCTGTTTCCAGATATTTTTCTGAGAGAGCTGGAAGTCGGGTTGAGTATTTGGGGAGGTTCAAGATGATTTTGAGATAGTAAGGCCACAATATCTAAAACAGAAATACTCATATGTTCACATGTGCCGAAGAATTAATTCTAAGTCCTGCACTGGATAATTTATGAAATTAGTCGCTTGCTTGCTCTCTGGAATTCATGTACCGAAATCGCATGGAGAACGCTGGGGACCCACTGGGGAGCCGAACCCCTCGAAGGTGTTTCACGCAGCGGAAGAATATCGGCGAAACACGTGTCTGGGCTTTTAGCTAGTACCTATATGGGGAGTACGGTATAATACCTCTGTCATATGTATACATATGTATAATAGTAGAGGACCGCTCACCTATCGCGTTATGGGATTCGCTCGTATCGTTGTGCCTTGGGGCTCCCTTTCGAGCCCCGCCAGATACCGCACAGCGGCGCATAATATATGCAGACTAGCACTACTGAAAAAGACAAGAGAAACTGGAATGGCCATTTCTGGCTCATTACCCGTCGTCAGCCAGTCATACCCAACTCCGAGATGGGCACTCCTGGGGCTCGACCCCCTACCAGTATATATTCCCGATCACAATCGACAGGACAAGAGGCCTATTGATCAGTAGGTTGGGGGGTTAGACTTCTAAACAACAGGTTGCGAGATCAAGCCCCAGGTGTTCTACACTTTTGAGTTGGGTAGGACTGGCTGACGACGGCTAATTAGCCAGAAATGGCCATTTCAGTTTCCTTTGTCTTTGTCGGTACTTTTATTTCGCCTATAGTACGCGCCGCTATTCGGCTGCTAGTTGGGCTCGAGAGAGAGAGTCCTAAGGCACAACGGGACGAGTGAGTTCCGTATGAACGATCGGTGAGCGCCCCTGTACCATTGTATAATTGTATTTGTACATGCGAATATCAGGAAGTGAGGAGATGGATTTTGGGTCAACTTGATACAAAACTGTTTCGGGCTTACTTGCCCTCATTCAGCCAATCATAACTGTGTCCACCTTGTGGGACCGGAAAGACGAACACGCGTGCACACATATGGCACAGATGGTTCGCCTCAGAATCTAACACATAGGTCATAAGAACGCCATTGAACCGCTCCATGCAATTCTGTGCTGAGGAATCAGTATATATTCATTCAGAAATGGATGCATGATGAATGCTGGTTTCTGGAAACAAACAGTTCTGCATCAGTCTACCCCAAACTTTGTCATTCCACCTCCTTCTAATATTAGTTTGGCCGACTTCGGTCCGGTAAGTGATTTCATGTACTGCTGCCAGCCCTGTGTTCGATTTTTAATGCAGTCATGGGCATGTAGGCAAGAAATTAAACTCATGAGGCATAAGAAAGAAGCTAATGATCGTAGATGCGACCGATGAGACAAGCATTGGGGTTATAAGCGGAAAATGGAATGACTGAGTTTGCATACATACATGCATATTCGTTGCTGGCTTTCGTTGTGGACAGCCAATTTTCTCGAAAATGCAGTTTGATGTTTGAATGAGTCTTCACATGTGACCCAAACGGCCATCTTCGTGAAAAGAAGCGCCTGAACACTCATTCATTCGCTAAATGTCTTCAAGAATAATCTTATTTTAAAGTCCTCAACAGACAGGTAATTCAGAATCTGTCTTTATGGACGATCGAGTGAAAACACTGAAAATCATGAAGTATGCAGCAATATTTTGAGGCCGATCTGAAACTCAACGTAATCCAAAACGAACGACAAGTGTAAATTAATTTAACGGAAGAAAAGTTCTCTCTATAAACACAAAATGGTATGTTTACGATCACACCTGGCAGTTATATTCAAGTTTATTAGGCACCGACCGGCCCCATAGCATGTCGTCTTATGAAAACATTTAATCTAACGACGTCCTCATCGGTAAAATCAAGCAAAATCCAGTTTCTCTTATTGAACCCCATCTCATTTAAGTCAAACGAGTCAAGAATACCCCGAATCCCTGGAAGACTGTTTTGGAATCTACACTCAGAATGCAGGCAGTTGACAAACCGCCATATATGAAATCACGCTAATTATTAAACGGCAGTTAGACGCAAACTTCCCTGAAACACAATTTTTAGACGTTACTTTATTTCTACTTTCACATTTACTACGTTTTTAGTATGAGCATACAGTATATACATCTAAAAACGAATTTTACTAAATTAGAGCCATTTCTGACGTTTTCGAGATATTGCGCTTTTCTAAAAAAAATCGGTATTTCTAAACAACGCAACTCTGCCTTTAATATTTATTTTATGTTTTTAATTCTTTTAAATTTGTACTTAATTAACATAGACATTGTATTCATGAAACAGTGTCGGTATGCGAGTGATTGGCAATCATTCGTAAATGTCGACACATTTCATGAGTTAGATCACTAACTGTATTGGTTACGCTCATATAACTTCCCCATAAATAAGCGCTACCTCACGCTGTCGACAAAAAACTTCCCATGTCCTGTTGTCTTTCAGTATCGAGTCAGGATCCCAAGCCTTCATGCGGTAGAACGGACGGGTAGTAAGCAAACACATCTATCTGTTCCTCGGGCGAATTTCAAATATGTATCCAGACTTGCGGAGGGTTTGCTTAAAGGAGGATAGGTAGGAAGTGTGACCTGGCAACTAAAGACAGACAGTTATTCAGCGATCTCGGAAAAGTACTCTCTCGGAGACCGGATATCAGTATGAAGCGATTCCCAAGGATAAGCTTCAGTGTAGAATTAATGAAGAATTAAACGACCTAGAAAATCCAAGTGACGTGAACGGCGTGCGACGTTGAAGAGAAATACAGGCTGGAAAGAGTAGGGAGCAGAGATGGGATAAACTAGAGGCGGAAGAAGATAGGCAGCAGGGAGTCAGGGGAACGTCAGGTACGACAAAGACGCTGAATGTCAGTGTCCAGGGAAAGGGTACGGGAGCCGGAAGTGGCTACTTAGGTTTCGAAGGCCGGAAAACAACAAACGGTGTTGGGGTGCCGATGGGGTTGGCTACTATTGGAGGGATGCCACCATGAAAGGCCCTCCGCTTCGGGTGTCGCAGACATAAAAAGTGGGACTATTGCTGAAGCAGCTGATTTAGTTGGTCTTCCGACAGATCTGCCGCACAGAATGGTCCCGATTGCAGATGAGGGAGTGAAGGGGGGGGGGTGAAGCTTCGAGACATGTCCCTGAAGGGCATATGATACCAGCAGGCGATAAGTGTAATGGAGAGAGGCGAGGTGGGCTGGGGTTGCTGGGGAAATGTTTTCAGTGGGCTCTGAGATGAAGGTGGTTGGTTGATGTTAAATGGAAATTAAATCTCTAGGGAGTTTCATTTTTGCCGATTCCATGCTGGAAAGAGAAGATGGGAGTTCGTTAATCTGCATCAGTCGACTGGCTATTGAAGGAATTTCGGAAGACGATAGAGAGCCAGAGAAGGACGTCAAAATGCGTTGAGAATTGATTGCTCTCACTAATTGACTGTATCGAAAACTGAGAACGAAGAAAGCAAGTTTCCGTAGAGCCCATAATAGCTGACACTGCCATCCCCACGGTAGGAGTTTGAATATTTCCGAAGGCTGCCCATGTTTCAAAGGTAGGGCGCCCGACTAGATGCTTAACGGCGAAAGAGGTCAGGTTCGAGCCTTGTGTCTTTCTAGACTGGCTGGCTAATTACGATAATCAAGGCAATAGTCACAATTTCATTCTCCCTTGCAATACTTGCCACCGCCTCTTAGCTACAGAAGTGCAAATGCATGACGATTTCAGGGAGTTGTGACGAAAGTCCTTTATTTACATTGAGGAAAGGTTATAATCTGCACGCTTAAATGGCAACAAAGTCTCCCAGGTATGCAGTACTAATGTAAATGCAGACCTGCTACATGCAGGCATGACACGAGGCACTTTTATAACTGCCTTTTACCTGGGCGCTATATGAACAGAGATGATCGTTTCCACGTTTTCTGGGGAACGTTTCACAAAGTAAGAAAACACATATTACTAAGTTTCAAAAGTAAACGTTTTGTTTTGATATAATTACCTTGGTCGTCAGGTCGATAGCGTCCTATTTTGCGTTGGCGTGGCGGAGGCGACTGCTCAGATCGAGATGACAGAGGGTGAGCACTAAGGTTGGAGGTAGCACTTAAACTCCGATGAGACATCTGTTTAAAAAGTAGAAGGACATCAGCACTCAATTGTTAAATGTCGCTTTTCGGTTATGCATCGTTTGTAACTGATGAACAAGAGGGGCACCTGGATACCAATCACCGAGACAGTCTGAATAGTTAAACATGTGCGTACAGTAGGTGGGCTAACTCATGAAATGTCAACCGAAATTACGAAATGAGTTTTCGTTTCGAGAAGAGGAATTAAGTAGGGTTTTAAAACTAGTCAGCCTGCAACATAAGTCCATAATATTTCGGTGACCTCAGGATTCCGGAAGTAAGTTTTCTTAAACAGTTGATGCAGAATCAAGGAGATTATATCAGGGCGATCGACAGCAAGGTGAAGCAGGCAGTCAACAGCATAAAAACTTTGAATAACTCTTAATACGGGCAGTTCAACACACGTGTTTCGCTTATTTGTTTTCTTGCACGAGACAGCTGTGAGAAGCTTGACTCATTAGTAATTCCCCTAAAGTTCCTCGAGGGCTTTCTACTCCGGTTTTAAACGTTGGGCTTTTTAAGTACAGTAGGTAGGCTAACTCATGAAATGTCGACCGAAATTCCTAAATACGTTTTTGTTTCGAAAATAGTAACTAAGTAGGGTTGTAGAACTAGTCGCCCACATCCTAATTCTATAATATTTCAGTTATCGCAAGATGCCGGCTTTCAAATGAATTTCCTTCCGGCTTCATGCAAAAACTACACTCTGTGAAAAATGACTACTTATGTAGCATGAATTTTTCTCATTGATTTTCGATGTCCAGAAAAGTCCAATTAAATTTCATGGGAAAAATGCATAAAAAATTATTCATTCTTTCGCTCATTTGGTAGATAATTACCTATTCTTCCAATGTTATACTCGAAGGAGGGACGTAATTCGGTTTTAAAAATGTTTCTAATTGTGGGGTTTTTAATTACCGTAAAATTTCCGTTCATAAATAGTCATGTCTCTGCTTTTACCATAAGGCTTGTTAAGTTAACAATTTGAATCAAATCTACAGCTTAATTTTATGAACTCTATATGGTCCCCCTTTAGTATCGTAAAGAAATGTATGGTTTTCTGTACGCGGAAAATATACGGCTTGTAAATTGGAAACCCTGAAACCAAGTGTGACGGGAGAGCGGGTTCAAAATTATTGGGGAATTGGAAAACTTTTTTAAAACCGAATTATGTCCTCCTTCTACAAGTTTACTTAGTTAATAGTTTCGAAACAAAAACGTATTTAGGAATTTCGGTCGACATTTCATGAGTTAGCCTACCTACTGTATTTCAAAAGCCCAACGTTTAAAACCGGAGTAGAAAGCCCTCGAGGAACTTTTGGGGAATTACTAATGAGTCAAGCTTCTCACAGCTGTCTCGTGCAAGAAAACAAATAAGTGAAACACGTGTGTTGAACTGCCACTATTATGAGTTATTCAGCGTCTATATACTGTTGACTACACGTTACACCTTGCTGTCGATCGGCCCGATATAATCTCGTGGATTCTTGATTGACCTTACTTCACGGTTTCAAAGTTGGTCGATTCCATAGGTTGCAGTAAGTAGGGCGGGTTACGAAGCCCAAATATGAAATAACTCAGGACTCTGGAGTCGAGACTCATAGCTTATATTATAATAATAATATATTTTAGGGTAATAGGCAATGCCCCTGATGACCATATTGAAAACGGTGCATACAATATAAATGTTAAATGCACATCTTACTAAACTTTTGTCAGTAACATATTTGTTCACGGAAAACGTTTTACAGTGCGGGGCTGCGAAGGGTGCGGCGGGCGGTCTTTTCAATGTACATATGAAATTTTAAGTGCAGTTATATACAATCAGCATGAAGTGTAGTCATTTGCATAGTTTCAGAGGGGAAATTTTATTAAAAGTCAGGGATGTGTTGCACAGGGATGAAATCAAGAAATGTGGCTAGAGAATTGATTGTTCTGAGGCCTTTTTTTGATGTCATGGTTTCAGATTCCACTGAGAGAGCCGCGTTTTCGCAAGAAGGCATCCACTCAAGTTAGTTTCAGAAAACTTAGTCGTAAATACCAATCCGGCTCGCTTAAAGTGCAATGATAGGAGACAATTACACGAAAGACGAACTTGGGATTTCAAGGGGTCTTCACCAAGTCCAGCGCTTAATCATTTTGTTATAGAAGAGATGTTGCCTGGGTCTGACATTATCCGTTACGTTTTAATGATTTAGGTTCAGGTACTATCGTGGCACACAGCACGAAGCTGCATTTGGAAGAAAGTGCAGCATTTCTAAGACAATGGAACGTAACCACATGCTAATCGTCTAGGTCTAGTTTACATTTGCAAAAGTGCAAACATTCTTCCCACACCTGTCTCACCACCTGAAGTAGCTACCGACATTTCATCGAAGTACATGTTTCTACTCGAAGTTCCTTATTGGACTTAAATTTCGTTCTGACAAACACTTGACAATCCCAGCTTATTAGAAAAGACCCCCTCACGAACGGCACCCATTCCTGATTCCCCACTATTAAATTCCCCGTATGGCGCCTCCAAGCCATGAAGATGCTTTTGTTTCGATGTGTTTGCAACAAAGCATGGGAGACAGCAGTAACAATTTGGAATTAATTTATGGTCGTCTGCCAGCCACATATCTAAGCCGGGCGAGCTACGGGCTGGAGCCCTGAATTTGAGATTATAGAGCATCAAATCAAAGGTCTTGCTTTCGAACCATAGACTTGGCACCCAGTCGTCTGTGATCGGAAACAGCATGTCAGATAGCCTGAATGCAGTCGGCGGGGTCTAAAGACAATATGCTGTTGTACTTGGCGGGCCTTCCTTCAGTTTCTCTCAATCGGGTACGAAGGGTTTTTGTGCCGTTATTGACTAGGAACAGAACGGAGTGGGGAATCCAACATGCGACATCACCACCATTTTACCCCCAACCTAAGCGCCAGACAGAACTTCTCGTCGATACTTTCAAGAGAGTTGTGAAAATCCCCATAGCTATATTCAGAAGAAAAGGTGGCGAACGAGCGTTGCTTTCGATAACTTCTCGTCAGGCCACTACAGTTATATGGGAACGGGGTACAGTGATTGAAAAATCGATAAAAGTTAGGTTTTAAATTACAGGCTCGTCAAGAGCGGAAAGGCGCAGATAGTTGCATGTGGTTAGTCAGCCTTTGACCACGGTTAGCGCGGAGCCTGAAAGAGGTTCTTTTGGGCGCATAAGGTCGGTTTTCGTAACCTTATGGCGGCCGCTTCCGCTGTCGCTAACAGGCGCCGTCCCAGTAGCTTAGGGTAGTTCGAGGGTACCTTATAAATCGCACTAAATGCTTCAGCGGGGTCCACGCGATGCCCTGAATCCACTGCATGCGCAAGGATGGCGCTGTCTATTCTCCTAGTTTCACCTTTTGCCAGCCATGCGGGAAGGTGCTCTCGTATTCTTTTGGAAATGCGCCGACTCGTACGACCAATATAACCTGCTCGACAGGAGCAAGTGAATGAGTAGATGCACATTGAAGCTGTCTGAGGTGGCAGCCTATTCTTGCCTTCTGCGCGTAAAATAGGGTTAGTAGTGAATGGCATGCGAACCCTTGCTGCTGGGACGGTTCCCGAGACAGCTTGGTCAGCAGAGCAATAAAAAAGGTGTGGAACGCAAGCGTTAAAACGGATTACATTGACACCTTCCTTTTCGTCCATAGAACAACCCCAAAAAATGACCTTAGTTGCTAGACACAGCCGAGCGTTTTTTGGGCCGACAGCCGGGTATACGACTACAGCACCAAAAGTCAAAGTTCTCCAACCGACAAAATATGACATTCGGGAGGGCGAAGAGCTATTTTCTCGTAATTACAAAGTCGGAGAAGAGCCCTGGGTATAGGACATAATAAGAAAATCCAGAATGGGAGACAACAGCTGGAAAAATTAAAAGGCATGCGAACCAGCCCAGGCATAGATTCGCCAGAGACGATGAAGTTGCACTTGACCAGTTCGGCGAAGCCACCGAGGAAGCTGATCTTGGACCAGAGGAAGAAGAGTTAGGAGGTCGAACTTTCAAAAGCGGGAGGTGGTATGGAGGGCGCAAGCCGTGTGGAGTCACAGCCTCAGGCAAAAGGGAGACTTGACCACGCACAGGACGGCAAACCAAACTGACAGCGTGATTCAAGCGTGAAGTTAGACAGTCGAAAAACGCGTACTGCAGCTGTGAGCACGTGTGGTGCCTTTGCTCACGCTTGCGGCCCAAACAATGGCTTTTTGAACATTTGAGATTCTTCCGCGGGGGAATTCTTGCCCACGCAACGGCCAATCCACGACCGATGGACATAGAGTAGGTGACCTAACTCATGAAATGTCAACCGAAATTCCAAAATGCGTTTTCGTTTACAAAATATTAATTAGGCAGGCTTGTAAAAGTAGTCAGCCTGCAACATAATTCCATAATATTTCAGTTACCTCAGGATGCCGGCCTTCGAACAGATTTCTTTCCGGCTGCATGCAAGAACTACACTGTAAAAAACAACTACTTATGTAGCATGAATTTTTCTCATTGATGCCTTTAAAAATTCTATTATACGTCCTGGAAAACATCCATACAAATGTTTATTCTTTTGCTCATTCAGTAGATAATTACGTCTTCTTCTAATTTTACAATCGAAGGGAGGGTATAATTCGGTTTTCAAAAAATTTTCCAATTCCCGAATAATTTTGAATCCGCTCTACCGTTACACTCGGATTCAGGGTTTCCAAACTACAAGCCGTATATTTTCAGCGTACGGAAAAGCACATATATCTCTACGGTAATAAATGGGGACCATATAGGGTTCATAAAATTCAACAGTGGATTCGATCCATATTGTAAACTTTACAAGCCACATTGGTAAATGCAGAGACATGACGACTTATGAACGGTCAGTTCACGGTATTTAAAAGTCCCACGATTAGAAACTTTCTCAAAACCGATTTATATCCCTCCTTCGGGTATAAAATTAGAAGAAGACGCAATTTTCTTTTGAATGAGCAAAAGAAAGAATATTTTTGTGCATGCTGTCCATAAAATATAATTGAATTTTTAAGGGCATCGAAAATTAATAAGGAAATTCATGCTACTTAAGTAGTCGTTTATTACAGAGTATACTTTTGAGTGGAGCCGAAAAGAAGTTCGTTCGAAAACCGGCATCCTGAGGTAACTGAATTATTATAGAATTATGCTGTAGGCTGACTAGTTTTACAACTCTACTTAATTAGTCTTTTCGAAATGAAAGCGCATTTCGGAATTTCGGTTGACATTTCTTGAGTTAGCCCACCTACTGTAGGCCGGAATGTTCCAGGACGCACAGGGGCCCAAACAGATAAGATACCTTTTAAGGAGTTATAAAACAGCGTGTTCTCAGGTTGCAAGAGTAAGGTGATTGTTCGTCGAACACGCTTTCCTTCTCGTTCATCCACCCATCGCAACCGGACAGAGTTTGCGTGCCGTATGCCGGTTCAGGACACGTTCCTCTACATACCTTATCAGGTCGCCTTCTGACGGGCTGGCTCTTCTGGCTGGAAGAGATGAATACAAGTCAATTCACACATTTGGCAGACATGACTGCGATAGATCAGAGGAAAAGCCTCCGGTGTAGATTCAGGAAACGAGCGATTAATGCCAGCCTCACATTAATGCTTGCGGGTCGTGCGGGTTTATGTGCCCTACACTCCCCCCCCCCCCCATCACACGTATACTAGCTGCTTCCATCGGCGTCGTTTCTCTAATATGCACTCTAGGTAAAAGACGAAACCGCGTGTGCTTCTAATGGCGCAATAAATGTAAGATTCTAATTTGACAGGCCTTCTCGGAAGTCATAGACAACCTTGAGAAAAACAACCTAACCCCACATTTCATTCAATACATGACCCGCAGGGTAGAAAACGCTTCACCACGGTAGTGCACAACTGAAACCACTGCCTGCCAGAGATCACGCAAGAGCAATTCTGGGGGGAGATTTTAACCAATAAGCAACTACAGTGATGGCCTCTGAAAGGCGTGTCGTACTTTGAGTTGGTGGGCTAAACCGCAGAGGCTACCTCATCAGACTAGTCGTGTTTGCGGTTGCGTGACAGGATCGTCAAACGAGCGTGCTTTACGTGCCGAGAAATCTCTCACGCGACAGAGGGCGGAATACTGTCGGGCATCACTGAGTGAAGGGGGCACCAGTGAGTTAGAAGTGAAATGCGCTGATTTACAGACATCGCCAATCAGCATGAGACACAATGAGATGGGACTTTCAACCTTAGACTGACCAAGAGGCATCCTATTTCTGGCGGGTGCAAGTTATGGGGATTGTTCTTTATGGCGCATTTCGGCCTGGGAGCGTCTTAACAAAATTAATTTGGGCATGCATTTTGCATTTAGTCAACATGTTTGTCAGAACATCCAGAGTAATACTCATAAAACTAAGAAAATCAACCACGTGCCGTCCAAAACTCTTCGTGGTACTGCCAACACAAGCACTAATTCGCTCACTGTCAGCCGCTCGACGCATCAGCAGTCTCTCACTAAGTTACACCGCATCCGCCGAAAACAAAACAACTAGTTTAATGAACAAGGCCAGTTCCGAGAGCTTTTATTATAATTTCTGCTATTTTTGTGAGGCAATTACTTAACAGTTAACTTGTGCTAGGAACTTATAGGGATCCGTTTTATATTCGCTGGGGCATTGAGAGTTTGATGTTGCTGTCCCAGGATATCCGAGCAGTAACCTTAACGTGCAGGTTAAAGGAAACGTACATTTCTCACAAAACAGCAGACAACATTTAACTAATTCATATTGACCCAACTGTGAAAAACTCGATGCGTCGGTGGGATTCGAACCCACGCAGCAAAAGGTAGGCTTTAGTACACCCAACGCTCTAACCACTTGAGCTATGAGGCCCTGCCGGACGACGCGAGTTTAATCACATTTGGGTCAAGTTACCCGCCCAACCCTACTGCAACGTCTGGAATCCATCAAATCTGATAAAGTAAGTTGACTGCCCAAGCAGGAGTTCCGAAGTAATTCACCTAGAATCCACCAGATGACTATCAGGCTCACGTAATTCATAGGTATTTTGGCAGATTTTGAATAATTCATATTGACCCATTTGTGAAAAACTCGGCGCCAAATATGAGTAAACTCGCGTCGTCCGGCAGGGCCTCGTAGCTCATGTGGTTAAAGCGTTGGCTATACTAAGGCCTTCTCCTTACTGCGTGGGTTCAAATCCCAACGAGGCGCCGAGTTTTTCACAGTTGGGTCAATATGATTCATTCAAAATCTGCCAAAATACCTATGAAAAATTTAACTAGTTAAAAAATTCCTAATGGCTTACTGTCGTCAGAAAGGAACACGCACACAGCCTACCATTATAGATGTTCTAATTAGCAAAAACTGTGGATTATGTCAATTCGGTCTTCTGAAATTGCCTATCTTCTGCGTTGAGAAGGATTTGCCCGAAAATCCCAATATAAACTTGACTCGGGGCAAAATGAACTTGCCTGGCAAGTCGGGAATGCGGGACACACACACCTGATAGGCGATGACTGCCTTCCTATTGGCTATTGTATGGCTAACGAATACTCAACAACTTTCGGTTAAATTCCCTATGGTGTAAAATAGTTCATAGAATTACACAAATCAATTCAGCGCGACCTAGCACTATGCAGTATTCATGGCTGCTGTGTGCACCCCATACGGAGAGAGCGAGAACGAGTAGTTTCATAAGAGCTTTCACCACCGGTTTCGAGCGGACCTTGGACAGAAACAGTGCTAGATTCACATGAGTATTCGTGTGAACGAGGCCAGACGCCGCTTGTAATCAGTCGAGGCGATGAGTGGATATGTTACCCCCAGTTTTTATCGCCACAACATGCCTGTTTATTTGGCTTAGATGGGCATGCTATAGTGGGGTTGTGTTTCTGGCTAAGCTTATGAAAATGATTCAATATATTATTAATGCTAAGGTCAAGTTTAAGGTTAGGCGTAGGTTAAGAATTAGGGCTAGAGAAAAGGTTGGGGTTAATTTTGCTTGCCGCATACCGGCTTACACAATCGGGTCTTCTTTAACCGATAACCTTGGATTACATGTTTACCGCCCGTTTACATGCGCCTAGTTTGCGTATTTCTAAAAGCGCGCAGGCTGTTCCGGTACCTCGTTGGGGTGATAAAATAAACATGTGCCCTCCACAGATTCCCTTAATTGCCGCATTTATCTGTCCTACTGGTAAAAGTAATATGAACATCCTATATTAGAGGAGTCCCGGGGCTTTATTTTTTCAATGCGCCTACACATTCAATTTCCGCCTCAGGCGACGCATTGGTCCTAACCTGGCTTGCTAACCTTTCGCACAAATATCTCAAAGCAGACAGGGCAATAACGAAAATCGGTAACCAAAAACCGACAAATTCAGGAAGTTGTTTGAAGTTTAGCTGGAGTTTTACACTGCGCAGGCTTTAGAAATGGACATCAGCCCTACCTATTCGCAGTGTCAGCGATCGAACAAAGTTCGCTCAATAATCGCGTTCTGCCTCTGCCCTCCTCCCGCACTCTCTCTTCTCCACTTCCCACCCGGACCCGGTGTCAGGACAGAGTCAAGAAGACCGGAGGCGAGGGAGGGCGCAGATGCATGGCATGTTCGAGCCCGCACCTTGGCGCTCCACTCCGCACCCCCTGGTCCACACAGCAAATAACCAGGTTTTTTAATCGACAACAACAATGGGGAGGGGTCCCAGTGTGCGCGACGTCCGCCAGCAACCGCGTCTGCCGTCGCATCCCTGTTGGCATTTGTTACGGTGCGTTGCTTATAGTGAATGTAGACTTGCACAGCATCTACCGCACTCTCTCCACCTCCCCACCTGGACCCAGTGTCAAGATATGGTCAAGAAGACCGGAGGTGGGAGAGGGCGTAGGTAGCTGACGCGACCAGAGCAGTCCCTTGGTCTGCCGCAACACTTGGCTGGGATTCCTCGGAGTGGGTATGCCATAAAGGCCATTTTGAGAAGGAGATATTGCAGTATGACTAGTCGGTCACTCTACACAAACACACACACTGGGTCATTTGCGAGGTTCAAGTTATCCCGTCGGTTGGCAACCTTCGAAGCCACGGCTTTTAGTGCGCAGTGATAGCTTCAAGCGCGTCAGACTGGTTATAGTAAGGAAAATGTGCTGAGTTGTCAACCTCACTCCCCATTCCTAGGCCACAGCCACTGTCCGAGTCGGTCAGTTGGAAAGTGCGGTTAATGAGCGACTTTAAACCTAACATTCCTCATTCTAACCCCAACTCGAATCCCTCTGAAATTTAGGGCAAGGCCATCTTAATGCGGTGAGTCCATATTCCCTTGCCTAACAAAAAATTCCAGCATTGCGTATAAGCAGGGATTATTCTGAGATCACGTTTGTCTAAAAGCAGGCAATCAAGTCTCGTTATCCCCTTTTGGTTAATTCTTTAGGTAGGAAGTCAGACTATACAAATCACAGCAACGCCTACGGCAAAAAAGACAGTTAGAGCAGTACCAAGTGAATAAGTGGTTTCATCAGCTCTTATGGAAGTTTTATGCGAAAATCAATTCTCGATGACAGACGAGTGGAATCAGAAGCGAATGAGATCAGAAAGAAAGAAGGTCTTGTTGAGAGTTTGCTCCCCAAGGGCTCCTCAAAAAACCATTTATATAGTCGCCTGGACCTGAAGATTGCACAAGAGTGGCCTGGAGTTTGACTTCGAGTAATTTTTCCGTCTACTTTTTTACGTAATAGGAATATGCAGGCTGATATCCTCATCATTATAACTGTATGTCGAATCTTCTGCTTCATCCTGTAAAGCAAGTTATAGTGATTGGATGAAGAAAGCCTACCTTTTTAAACAAGGGATGTGCGTTCGAATACGGGTTCTTTACCTGACGTTTCGGAGTTACACTCGAATCAAGCCTCCGACAGGGGAGTCGATAAAGATAATGTCTTGCACAAGTGTTGCAGTATTTACGGGATGCAGTTGTTATGCCACCGAATATTTATCAAGATTGGCGGCTCCCAGCTTCATCGCGGATGGCTGTACTTTTCGCGATAACAGCTTGATGGCCGGCAACCGAGCCCTTACTCGTTGCAATGCCATCACTCGTATGGGTTCTTGGGTCACTTACCTCGCCGGAATTAGTAGTGGGAACAATGGATCATTATTATGAGCAAGGTAATTCCAAGCAGACAATAAAGAGGCGGGGGTTCATTGCGTTTGGAAATTGACTGAGAGCCGTAAAACCGTGACTTGGGCTGTTCTCGGCTTACGTGATTAGCACTTTTTGCGTGAATTTCTGTCTCATCGAATTTCAGTTGATAACGGGTCACGTTGAATAAGTCGCGACTTGGGATCTGGTGACGTTTCCCTTCAGTGTTGCTGTGCGCCCGAACATCTGTGTCCGGAGTAGTCTTTCACTTCCTCCGACATAGATGCTAGCCTCACAACTGCACCTGATCCGATAAACGACTGCAAACGTTGCTTGTCGTGGCAATAAGTTTCCTGACTTCGTGACCTGTGGGTTGCCTCCGGTCTTTGTGCAGCCCCAAGTCCAGGGAGCGTATGAAAGCGACTGATGGCTTCCGAGACGTTCTGGTCACACGGGAATACGTACGGCAAAATTTGGGGGTTTGTTGAATTTGGTCTCTCGACTCGTTTGCGCATGCACCGGTTAATGAAGTTAAGCAGATAGACCCTCGCTTTGAGCAGTCGTCCAAGATAATGCAACTCAGAAAACATGTCTTCCGGTTCAGAGCAGTGCAACACTTCTGCAAAACAGGATCCTCATTCGTTTCTGTCTCCGATTATGAATTCCAGTATAAATCGCATACGTCAGAGGAATAAAGCATTTGTTTCAGCGATCGCGCCTCTTTCCTGACTGTTGTCTGCAAATCGCCTATTCGCTTACATTGGCGGATGCAAGTCTCAGGTCGTGCAAACCTGAGTTAGGGTAATGCTGATTGACGTAGGCTGATGAGCCATAAATTTCCACTAGAGTTGCCCTTGCCTTTGGCGGTACTTTTCCTTTTAAAGAACCTCTAAACTTCCCAGCTGGGACAACTTAACCGATTGTTCCCTACGTAAACATTCAGCTAGTGGCTACACTGCAACCAAAGAGGACTGTAAATAACCATAATCCTATAACATTTCAGACTTGGCAGGATGTCGACTTTTGAAAATGCACGTCTTTTTGATTTCCTATACAAACCGTACTCAGTAAAGAAGGACTACTTAAATAGCATGCATTTTTCGCATGGATTTCCGATGGTCTTATGAATTTAAATATACTTCATAAAAAACACGGATAAAAAATTCTTTCTTTTACTCATTTGATAGAGAATCATGTCCTTTTTGTGTTGTATACTTGAAGAGGGAGTATAATTAGGCTTTAAAAGGGCTTCTAATGATGATATTTTTCAAGACCGTGCAATGTCCATCCACACAACATCGTACCTGTACATTTACCACTACTCCTAATGAAATGTACAACATAGTCCTCATCCATTGCAAAATTTTATGGACTTTATATGATATCTTTTTAAAGGCATAGAAGAATGTGTGATTTTCTATACACGGAACGCATGCACCTTGTAGATTGAAATCACTGTGCGCAAATGCAACGGCTGATCACGCAACAAATTATTCTGGAATTAGAAGCCTTTTTAAAGCCTAATCATACTCCCTCTTCAAGTATACAACACAAAGAGGACATAATTCTCTATCAAATCAGTAAAAGCAAGAATTTTTTATCCATGTTTTGTTTATGAAGTATATATGAATTCATAAGACCATCGAAATCCATGTGAAAAATGCATGCTACTTAAGTAGTCCTTTTTACTGAGTACGATTTGTATAGGAGATCAAAAAGACGTGCATTCAAAAGTCGACATCCTACCAAGTCTGAAATGTTATAGGATTATGCCGCAAGAAAATCAGTCTTACAAATCCACCTGAGTAATCTTTCCTAATCGAGAGCGCATTTCAGAATTTCGGCCAACATTTCATGAGATCGGTCACGCACTGCACATATATAACACAATTTATTTGTAAATTTTCGACTTTGATTCCCCAAGCCGATCTCAGACGTGAAGGAAATGTGCTTTAAGCTCCACCAAGAGCCTTGCAGGCAGCTGCATAGCGGGCACAGTATAGCCAGATTAACATTACCGACAAAGATAAGGGAGACCGGAACGATCATTTCTGACTTATTAATCGCCATCAACTAGCCATACTCATACTGTCCTTTAAGTAGCGGAAGTGGAGAGAGAGAGAGAGAGGGAGAGAGGAAACTTACCGACGACGCCCACCATGTACTCTGCAGCAGAGTGAGAGCACGGAACATGACTTGCACGTAAATTAGTTTAAAGTGATAGTAGACTTGCGTAGCATCTACCGCACTCCTCTTCCTGCCCCACTTGGAACCGGTGTCATGACTAAGTCGAGAATGCCGGAGGGGGGAGAGGTCGTAGGTTGATGCTATGGCGTAAACCCGTACGCAGGCGTACCCCCACACCCCCTGGTGCAAAACACATACTGGCTAGGATTTTAGACACCGATAAAAGTTGGGGGGGGGGGTGTGATACGGATCCCAATCGGCGTGACGGGAGTCGGCCAACATGAATGTTGGCATTTGTTATTGCTGCGCATTACTGGAAACGCCTGCTGGACTTCGATCTAGGTCCCGTTTTGGTCGGGCGCATCTACCGCGGGGAGGAACACACGTACAGAGGTGCCTGCGAAGATGCAGGGCAACTTACCCTCAAGGCTCGGGGCGCAGGAACAGGCAGCAGGTTCTGTGACGCATATTCGATCTTCCGTTCACTCACTCCAGACCGAACTGAGCTTAGGAAGGGTGAAGCTGGAGGCGGCAGAGGGAGCTTCTCTGCTGGCGAAGAGCCGGACACATCTGGCGGAGCACTGACTGCCGAAAGCGGCCGCCGCCGTTCTGGCTGTGGTTCAGGTAGACCGACAGTGATCTGAGAGGGTCTCAGTGTCTGTGCAGCTTTGGCTGCGGCTGCGGACGGGCCACAAGGCATTCGAGGCAGTAGAGGCTTCTCCAGAACGCAGAAGTTGGTGGCCCGCCAGCCCGCAGACTGGAAACGTTTCTGCAACTCCGGTATGTGCCAGAGAAGACGCAGGATATGACGGGCAAAACGGACTGTCTTGTCTCTCTCTGTGGGAACCGGGCTCAGGGGGTCGGTATACAGACCGGTGTTTGCAATTGCCATACAGGGTGGAACACCTCCGCAGTCCACAAAGAACCTACGGTAAGGAATAAACGGTCAGACGCAGTCTCCGCCAGATTTATCCTCTGCTTCACGTGGAAACTGTCAAAAGTGCGATCAAGGTGAGGCTTGTCCGTACAGATTAACAAACACTTTAACATATGTAACACGTTATGCATAATTCTTCAGAGATAGCCATTCCAAGATGATGTCGGAAAAATGCAGAGTTTTCTGGAAATTAAGAACTATACTCGGGAACTTTGAAGCCACTAAGAAAGGTCAGTCAACCGACAAATTTACGGAGGGGGCGAAACTCGAGGGTTAGAGAAGGACATTAAAGAAGGTATGAGTGGTGAGCCTACACTGTATTAGAGAGTGCATTCAGGGCTCGGATGGACTTTCGAGATGACAGAACGGTGGACTCATGGAAAGATCAGATGACATGCCATCTTCATAGTCTGGGGGGTTTGGAACATCCAGATTTGATCGTACCTCTTCGCACAGCACATCGAGATCGACGTGACTATTGGCACAGAAGCCATAAGCCTCGTCGATAACTTTAATGGCAATGCACACGAAGCGATGACCGTTCTTCCAAGTGTGGACATCAAACCAACGAATAGGAGTCGTGCCGATGTATAGTCTATATTCAATGGAGGAGTCAGTAGTCATGAGCCCGTATTGGGTCACGGACGATGACGACGAGCAGTGCCTTGTTGCTCCTCAGTTATGGGATTTTTGCCTCATTACAGACCAAATCATCTGACGAAAAACGTTTTCTCCGAGTATTTCACTTCGCCTAGCTTGTGATAAAAACTGTTCCGGTGGTTAATATCATAAATTTCGTCCGGTGTATAAGCTGTAATTATCCATCTTCTGCGCCTAAGAGGTTTGTCTTAAAGTTCCAATGAAAGCACTCGTCGGATAAAAATAAGTCCGCCCTGGGAGTTGAGATGAATAACTTAGGGACTGTTCACACAGCAGACAAGCGCACAATCTACATCCCAGAGTCCGAAGAAATCGACATATTTTAAAAGGTTAAAAGCTCAATTCCGTCTTTGGAAAGTTTTATGGCTGAGGGAGGAGGGGGGGGGGGGAGAGGGCGTTCTAATCTTACCAGCTGGTTTTCGGTTAAGCATTCTTCGAACTACCCCCGGCGAATAAAACTCAAGAAGGAAAAACTAACTGGGTGGCATGAATTTTTCATTAGTCTTCGTTAGCTCTACAGACTCGATGGTCTAGTTTGAAATGTATGAACAGCGTATTTATTTATCTTTCCATTCTTATAAAAAATAAAGGATTCCTAGAACATAACATCTAGGTAAACATGTAGGGTAACGTTAATGTGCTACATTTCGTTGTCGTTTGATGAAACCTATGGACACACTCTCACTCACCGAAGCCTGTGTAATTGTCTACAAAAACATTTGCAGTGATGGGAACTGCAGCTACGTTGGAGAGATTGTAGACCCGCCACCAAGAGTAAGAATCGGCAAATCGGATGTTAGACCCAAACTCGCAACTAGCACCGCACATTGGAGAAACTGTCCATACTCTTGCTCTTCAGGGAGCAACCATCTTAGGCCGCGACGTCTCAAAGACAGAACGGCCAACACTTGAGGAGTGACATTCAGATGCCAACTCCATCAACAGGCATCAGGACTTTCCTCCTACTTCAATACTTATACAGTAGGTGGGCTAACTCATGAAATGTCAACCGAAATTCCCAAGTGCTTTCTCTTTTCGAAAAGATTAATTAAGTAGGGTTGTAAAACTTGTCAGCATGCAGCACAATTCTATAATGACCCTGTTACCTCAGTGTGTCGGCTTTCCAATGAACTTATCTCCGACTGCAAGCACGAACAGTACTCTGCAAAAATGACTACTTGAGTAGCATGCAATTCTCTCATTGATTTTAGATGCCCTTGAAAATTCAATTATATTTCATGGAAAACATGCATAAAATAGTCAATATTTTACTTATTCAGTAGAAAATCACTTCTTCTTTCAATTTTTTTGCTCGAAAGAAGGGTATAATTCGGCTTCAAAAAAGTTTCTTACTGTGGGATTTTTTAATACCGTGAAATGGCTGTTCGTTAAATTTCCTGTCTCTGCATTTACTAATATGGCTTGTGAAGTTAACAATATTGCTCAAATCCACTGTCAAATTTTATGAACCCATATGGGCTCCTCTTAATACCGTAGAGAAATGCATGGTTTTTCGCACACGGAAAATACACGACTTGTAGGTTTGAAACCCTGAACGTAAATGTATGGGCAGGTCGGGTTTAAAATTATTCGGGAATCAGAAAGTTTTTAAAAACCTAATTATACTCTTCTTTTGAGTATAAAATCGGAAGAGGACGCACCGAATATGTAAAAGAATGAATACTTTATGCATGTTTTCCATGAAATATAATTGAATTTTCACAGGCATCTAAAATCAATGAGAAAATTGCATGCTTCTTAAGTAGTCATTTCTTGCAGAGTATTGTTTGTGCATGCAGTCGGAAATAAGTTCTTTCGAAAGCCAACACCCTGGGGTAACTAGATCATTATAGCATTATGTTGCAGGCTGACTAGTTTTATTACCCTATTTAATTAATCTTTTCGGAACGGGAACTCTTTTCGAAATTTCGGTTGACATTTTATGAGTAAGCCCACCAACTGTACATGCTCCAGGACAAGACGGCCACGCAAAATCTCATAAAGCCGCGCAGGCACAAACTGAAAAGATGGTGACTCAAAGAACGCAGCTGATAGGCACGCAAAACATCTTCAAAAAGGCGGAGGCAGCGAAAGTGGAGAAAAAATCGATAAGTCCGAGGCTGACTAGCACGGCAGGCCACTTCTATTCCTGTTCACTTGATTGCATTTACCTATTTAACAATGCTGGGCCGACGAAGCTATCCGAAGCGTTAGCATTCCAATAAACCTGTTCCAATGAATTCTTATTTTTTTCAAATACCAGTGTTAGATAATTTGTAGGTTAAACCGACCCAGTCCGACTTTGTCTAAACTGATAGATACCTTTTCTTCAAGCAATAATTTTAAAGACGTAATTTGTTACCAAATGATTACAAGAAAGAATATTTTTGTGTCTTCTATGAATTATATTTGGATTTATTAAGGCATCGGAAGTCCATGGGAAAAATGCATAATACAAAAGTAGTCATTTATTTGCCAAATACAGTTTTTTTCAAGCGACTAGAAGCTTATTCAAAAGCTGGTATCCCACCGCGACCGAAACGTTTTATGTTGCACGACAATAAATATCACAACCCCACCTACATAGTCCTTTTCGATCGAAACCACATTATAGACCTTCGATCAGCATTTCAGGACATAACTGGCTGCTGGCGATGCTAGAAATGGAAAGCACATCACACGCAACTCCATTAATTTCTATTTCATGACTTTGATCCATGAAGTGACTGGAAAGATTCCTGCGCCAGTTTGTTGACAGGTTCTGAAAGTCGACGGGCGCATGGGAGAAGGAGGCGAAACTGAGACCGACACAGAGAAATACTTTCCAATGGCAAATCGGCTCACTCACTTCTATAATAAATCTGACGGGTCGAATCTACCACGAAGCACTATAAGACGTGGCTTAGAAAATTGTCAATTGAGTGAATAACTCGGGTCTTTTCAGGACCGGGTGTCAGGCTCTACGACATTCTCACGCTTGCGATATCCAAACTGCCCTTACAGTAGCTCGGTGCATAGAGCGAAGATCAAGTGGCATGTGACATGCGTAAACGGATTGTTTGGCTTTGTCAGTCACAACGCTCGGGCTCATCTCCAGTCCTTTTAAATATTGTCTCGGCATCGGTGCAAGGTGGGTGGAGGAGAGGGTGCGTTAGATGCTTCACAAGCCTGCTCTCATATAAAGTAATTCACGCACAAATAGCCGCTACTGCGCCTAACGTACAGTGGGTGGGCTAACTCATGAAACGTCAACCGAAATTCGGAAATGCGTTTTCGCGTCGAAAAGATTGATTAGGTAGAATTGTAAAATTTTTCATCTTGAAGCATAATTCTATAATGATTCAGTTTCCCCGGGATGCTGACTTTCGAACGAACATCTTTCCGGCCGCATGCAAAAACCATACTTTGTGAAAAATAACTACTTAAGTGACATGAATTTTTCTCATTGATTTTCGATGCCCTTGAAAATTCAATCATATTTCACGGAACACATGCATCATAATATTCTTTAGCTTATTCGGTAAAAAGTTATGTCTTCTCTTAATTTTATACTCGAATAAAGGGTAAAATTCGGTTTCATAAAAGTTTTTTACTGTGAGATTTTTTAATACCGCGAAATGGTTGTTTATAAAACGCGTGTTTCTGTATTTACTAATATGGCTTGTAAAGTTAACAATATGGCTCAAATCCACTGCCAAATTTTATGAACCCGATATGGTCTCCTTTTAATACCGTAGAGAAATGTATGGTTTTTCGTACGCGGTTAATATACAGCTGGTAGTTTGGAGAGCCTGAATGCAAGTGTAACGGCAAGTCGGGTTTTAAATTATTCAGGAATTGGATAAGTTTTTGAAAACCGAATTATGTCCTTTCCCCGAGCATAAAATTGAAAGAAGACGTAATTTTCTACCGAATGAACAAAAGAATGAATATTTTTATGCCTGTATTCCATGAAATATGATTGAATTTTTGAGAACATCGAAAATAAATGAGAAAAATGCATGCTATTTATGTAGTTATTTTTACAAAGTGTGGTTTTTGCATGCGGCCGGAAAGATGTTCGTTCGAAAGTCAGCATCCCGGGGTACCTGAATTATTATAGAATTATGCTGCCAGATAATAAATTTTACAAACCTTCTTGATTGATCTTTTCGAAGAGAGAACGCATTTCGGAATTTCGATTGACATTTCATGAGTTAGCCCACCTACTGTACGTTAGACGCATGATAGACGCTGTTGTTCGCGATGATCGAACTCTCTATTGGAAAGATATCCAGCTGAACGCCAGTCTTCTAATGTGCAGAATCTCGCTTAGGAGTGCGTTGCCTGATAAACAGATTTACAGCGCGGCCCACGCAGATTTAAGTCCAAAACTGATCCATAACAGTCTTGTCCTTTAAAGCAGGCTCTAGCGTTGTCACTGCAGCCTTAGAGACCACGAATATCGCAGGATATGGTTGTTTAAGGAACAGAAAGAGGCGGGCACATACGTAGCATGTCCAACTTTGTCTTTAATCAACGCAAAAAGCGTTGCCAGGATGGAGGCCGCAGTGTTCAGCGTGACCGACCGAGTCGCCGCAACCGCGACCGCTGCCGGGGAGGAGTTCTGTAGAACGGGCAGTCGCGCGATCAGGGCAGGGATGCCGTGGAGAGAAATCTCATCCCGATTGCGTGCATCAACAGCGAGATTGCGTAAAGCGGTGACGGTTGTTTTCACGACAGCGTCCTCCTCTGATTGTAAGAGTTCAATCAGCAGAGGAATACCTCGCTCCTCCCGGAACTGTAAAATCAGAAAAAAATCCTCCCTGTCGCAGATGTAGAACAAAAGAGTTTCTAATGGTAGGGGACGCTCACCGATCGTTCTTACGGAACTCACTCGTTCCGTTTTGCCTTACGGGCTCTCTCTCGAGCCCAACCAGCAGCCACACAGCGACGCATGATATACGCAGGAAGGCATTATCAACAAAGACAAGGGTGACTGGAATAGCCATTTATGGCTTATTAGCCGTCGTCAGCCAGTCATACCCAACCCCGAAGTGGGCAACCCCTGAGGCTCGAACTCGCGAACTGTTGGTTAGAAGTCCACGCCTCTCACCACTGAGCCACGAGCCCGTTGCCCTGTCGGTTTTCGATCAGGAATATACTGTGGTAGGGGCGCTCACCGATCGTTCGTACGGAACGCACTCGTTCCGTTGTGCCTTACGGGCTCTATCTCTCTCTCTCTCTCAAGCCCAACCAGCAGACGCACAGCGACGCATGATATAGAGGTGTCGTTGGGCTTCTGAATCGGTCGCCCTAATCACTTGCTCCATATCTACCAATACCCAATACCTTATACGCAAAAACAGGACCCGGTAGGCGGTCTCAATTGGGAATGACGACGCTGATTGTCCTTAGTGGTGGTTACATGGTCGCCGTATCAGAATATCTCGTAAATAACGAGATTGTCAGCTTTATTTACCTCGTACACATGATATTTACTTCCTTGGGGGAAAATTTAGGATATAGTACGACAGCATTTACCTATGGTGGCTCTGAACACTGCCCTGTGGGACCTTCTTAAACAGATTTTACTAAGACAAGACAGTCTGGAAACTTAAGGGGGAGAAAGAAGGATTATAATACACGGTTACTCAATAGTTGTGCTAGCAGGCATCTTTACATATTATGTGATTAAGATGCGCTGTCGGAAAAAAAGAGGGTGAATAATAAGCTGAATTCCATCTTCTTATCCATCGTAAGTACTACCAATACTAAAGCCTGAAATAACTCGAACTTTAGAGCCGCATCATTTGTATCATTCGGATAAAGCTTTCAGTAGTCGAGCCAGGGGCCCACGCTATCGACCGCGTTCGAGATACTTTAAGGTCACGTGACAGTGGACCCGTTGGTTTGGTCTGATTAAGGGACGGCATGCAGGCTTGGCATTTTGCCCTACGGCTCCAGTTCGAAGTCTATAGCCGGGGCGTGACTGAAGGACAGTAGAAAACGAGTCAGAAATAGCCGATCGCATCTTTGAACGTGTTTACGGCAGTACTTCAGACCTGCGATTGTTTTTTTGCAACAAGCGCATCTACAAATGCTGTAAACGATAATCTCAAGGCAAATGCCCACGGATGAGGAATCAATAAATCGACGTAATGATCTGGCGTCCAAGTCTGTGGTACTGGGTCGTTGATTGGCTAATGCCCTCTGTGATTGTCACTTGATTTCGCCGCTGTCAGCTCTGACGATGGACTACTGAAGGAGTTCGAAAATTCAGAAAAATAAACAAATGCTTCTGATGCTCCGGCTGTCTACTTCTTCTTTCAACACAACAGGGCAGGTCAGTACCCCACCGTGTAATCAGTTCGTCTCAATGAATGCCAGGATCGTATCGTTTCGAATTCACCAACAACCAACACAATGCGGGTTCTCTCTGAACAATGAAATACAGGAACTCCCAAATGCATAAAAGTCGCATGACACGGCCTTAATCTAGCCCGTATTTGTTGACTAAACACGAAAAAGGCTGGCGTCAGGACGACCATGATACACTCCCTTTTGACCATCAATCTGTTAGCGTCCAATTTGTGACGTGTAGTGGGGTAGATTAGCCAACTTTGAAGTCAGCTTATGCGTGAGAGGTGACAATGCAACCTTAATTGACGGTCAACATGAGTTCGATGACGCACAAAATTAATCCTTTTAGATAGCTTTTAAATAAACTGCCTTTAAACATTACTTTTTCGTTAGGCGCACTTACCCTCCTTCGGATTTCTATGCTTGGACGCCAATCACAGGCAGTAAGATTTTGAATTGCACCTGTTACAGCCTCCACAATGCACGGGTTCTTGCAGCCACGCAGAACGGAGAGATAAACTAAAACGATGTCCGGTTGCCACAATAGCTGGCTCCCGTGAAACAGGCTGAGAGCCGACGGTGGGATCTCCATATAGGAAGGCTGATCCTGCAAACGCTGGTCGGCGGCATCCTTAGTTGTATCTGGGGACAACCAAAGGGATGCATGTTCACAGATCGTCCACTGGATCATTTCAGAGAATACAACATTTCTCATACTCTCAGCACTCTGACAGGCTAGGCCGATGAAGTCTTCACTCGTTGGAACCTTAGGAAACGCGAACTGTTATTTTGAATCAAATCTAGATTAGATCGCAGTTGGTAGCCAGGAATGGGGAGGCGGACAGTCAGGTACCTGTCGTACGGTAGTGGAGGGAAAGGGGGTTATATAGGCGGGGTAAGTGGAAGGACTGGTAGAGGAATGCTGGAGATTCTGGATAAAAGTAAAGTTACCAGAGAAAGTGCTGGGAAGTTTTAAGTAGGTGAAATAAGTATGGAAATTTAAACCCTACGCTTAACCCTAAGATCCAACCCTGATCGCAACCGTAAAGACTAACCCCAAGCCTCAAAACCGAAACGTAACCAAAATCCTAAAAACAAAGGCTAACCCAAGACCCAGCCATAACCCTAACACTAACCTTAACCCTAACCCTAACCTTAAGCCTAGCCTTAACCCTAATCTTAAACCTGACACTAAACTTAAGCCTAAACTTAGTCCTATGCTTAACCCTAAACGTAATCGTAGCCCTAACGGGAACCAAAACCCTAACCCTACCACGGAAACATGACCCTAAAACGCAAATCCCAATCCTAAAACTTAACATAAGCCTAACCCTAACCCTCACTAAATCCAACAGCCTGACCGAAACTGGCGACCTGCCTAAGTCAGTAAGAGCACACCTACCGATAACAAGTTCCCTAAACAAGGTAACCACACCAACAAAAACAAGTACGTACGTCGACAGTATCACCGTATAATGTCTATTCAGCTGAAAAGCACACAGCTATTTAGGACATAACTTCTATGACAAATAACTATTTTTGCAAAACTTGCAACTTCAGTCTCTACACACCCAGGACCAGACCAGCCTTGGGCTTTCTGTGGAAGTCGAGACGTTTTTCGTCCGGAACGCTGGTTGCCGCCTCGTAGAAGCCAGCCTCACGACGAGTCAAGTAGGCGGGATCACGGACCTCCTGCAAAGCAAAGCTCAGGTTGCGCAGAGCGCAGACGCAGTTTTCGAGGACTCTGGAATCGAATTCGCCGGCGTGAGCAAGACACTTGCAGAGGTATATCAGTGCAGCCACCAGACCTGGAGTCTCCCTCAGGCGATGGCGACAGTCGGCTGTTTCGGTGAGGACATTCCTAGTTAAAGTAGGAAAAATTGATGTATGGCGCATACTCGGGCACTAGGCCATTATAAAAAGAGGGGAGTGGGCATGCGCACATCAGTGGTAGGCGGCTGGAAGGCCATTATGACCATGTATGGCCTTAATAAGACTAAGCGGCAAGATCCTACTTCGGCTAGATCGCAGTTGGTAGTCAGGAATGGGGAGGCGGACAGCCAGGTTCCTGTCGTACGGAAATGGTGGGAAAGGGGGTTATATGGGTGGGGTAAATAGAAGGACTGGTAGAGGAATGCTGGAGTTTCTGGGTAAAAGCGAAGTTACTAGGGAAAGTGCTGGGAAGGTTTAAGTATGTGGAATAATGTCAGAAATTTAAACCCTACACTTAACCCTAAAATCCAACCCTGACCGCAACCGCAAAGCCTAGCCATAAGCCGCAAAACCGAAACATTACCAAAATCATAAAACCCAACGCTAACCCAAAACCTAGCCACAACTCTAACCCTGACCTTGACCCTAACCCTAACCTTAAGCCCCACCCTAGTCCTAACCGCAACCCTAACCCTTACCTTAACCGTAACCCTAACGGGAGCCTAAACCCTAATCCTAACACTGAAACCTGACCCTAAAAGGCAAACCCTTATCCTAAAACCTAACCTACGCCTAACCCTAACCCTCACTAGACCCAACAGCTTGACCGAAACGGGCGACCTGCCTAACTCAGTAAGAGCACACCTACTGATAACAAGTTCCCTAGACAAGGTAAGCACATCTACTGATAACAAATACGTACGTCGACAGTATCAACGTATAATGTCTGGCTACCAACTGCGATCTTACCCTTATTTCGTAGCCGTACCTATTAGGGGTTTGGGGTTAGGGATCAGGGTTAGGGACATGGGGTTGGGGTTAGAGGTCAGTGGTTAGGGTTAGGGGTTAAAATTAGGGATTGGGTTAGGGGTTAAGGGTCGAGGTTAGGGTGGGGCTTGTCTACTGTTGGTACGGCTACGAAATAAAATCCGACCGACAGACCAACCAAATACACCCTTATAAGGAGGTGTTACTTCCGGGTGACGCATTAATGTTCAGCAGCGTGAAGAAGGCTTAAAGTTCCAACGCAAAACCGGAAGGCACATCGTTTAATGAGAGATTAAGTGAGAATCCTTTGGGCATGCCTGATTCCCAATCGATGCCAATAAGAGCTACAAAGTTGTGGCCCACAAGCAGACTAGCACATTCCCCTCCATGTTTGCAAAGAGAGTTCCTTGCTTCTTCTTGCAGAAACGTGAAATTAAACAAATCTGCCGTTCAAACCCCGAACTTAAAAGGTCTTCCTAGGCCTGTTGGCAATGATGTACACGGTCTACGAGTCTGTGCGTGTACAACGTACACTGAAAGTTATCCAAGGAAAACGAAGAAGAGTAAGCGATTTCATGGACCAGGTTGTATTCAAACTGACGTTCCGAAACTTCTCTCGCTCCCATCATCAGAGTCATTCGCTAGCGTTTCCTGCTGACCTTGATCTGTTCAGCCTTGCCGCCTGCCTCGTATTATAACCGTGCCCAGCGCACGTTCGTTTGCTAGCCTGTTTTCTGTTGGCTAATTGTCGCCCCCCGAGTCCAGCCATTGGCGGACTGGCGTGGCTTGTGTCCCCCTCACGCCTGGCGTGGTTGCCGCTGCGTCAGCATGCTCGTTGGCCTCCCCCTCGTCAGACGGCGGGCTGATCGATCGTTGTTCCACAAGGGTGGTGTTTCCGGCCTCGCGAGTACCTCTGTGAGACAGTGCGCCACGCCGGTCACGTGACGTTCGGTCAGCGCCGTGTGACTCTTTTCATCTGTGCCATTGGCCCTGCCTGGACTGACTCGAGTCTTCCGCAGAGCGCCTGGTAGACGCGTTGTAGGTCTATGGCTCGGTTGAGTGTACCAGTCGAGGACCAACTTTCCAGAATCAGTCTGGCCATTTTTATAAAGCACTGCGCGAGGAGCCAAAAGGCCCTCCTCATCAGGCACAGTCCAGAAAAACCGCAACAAAGTCCCTTAACTGAATTTCCGGGGTACTACTAAAATATGTTAGTAGGGAATACGGTGTACGCCATTGCATTCTAGATAGAGGGAGGAGGAAACCATGTTTTTCCGGACAGGCAGCAGTTTAGGGAAAAAGTGGCGGGATTTGGATATGTAAGCCGACTGAGAAAATAAGGCCTTGCAACTCCTGTCATACGGGAAGGATGCAAATGTTAGTCCATCAGTTGAGCAGAAGCCATCGAGAAAACACATAATTCTGCCATATGTTTGTTTTAATACTTCGCCGAGGCGCCAAAACGGCCGCGCAATTTGAAAAATGGGAATCAGGGCGTGTAAACGGACAAAACGGGTTACTCTAAGGTTATGGGTAAGACGATATGCGCAGGCAAACGTAAACCTAACGCTAGCCGTAACCCCAACCCCAACACTAGTTCCTACCGTAATTCCAGACTCCGGACTAACCTTAAACTCAAACCGGACCTTAACCTTAACCATAAATTTTATAACTTCCTTAAGCCCAGCCAGAAGCTTAACATTTATATTACATGGAATGTATTATACTGTACTCCCGACATAGGTACTAAATAAAAGCCCAGACACGTGTTTCGCCGATATTCTGCCGCTGCATGACACAGCTGCGAGGGGCTCGGCTCAACAGTGGGTCCCCCAGCGTTTCGTGTCTTGCACTTATTAATTTCTGAAATGATTCTCTGGCTGTAAGGATTTGAATTCAGATTGCTTACCAAGCCGTCATTGAAGCCAGCGCTCTGCAAGTTTCTCTTGGGCTTAAAATTTACTGCCCTTCATTGAGAACGCCAAAGGTTGTGTTTAATGAGCTGACCCAATTTCGGATGGGGATTTTGGTCCTGAATCCCTACAGGTGGAACATACACCCAGCCTAAGACCGATATAGACCCGACGGATTATTCGGGGTTGTCGTTCCTTGTCGGCACTAGCTCCCGAGCGTTTGCCGCAATGGGGCTACCCGGTAGGGCTTCAGATCCGAATCCTGACAGCGAACTGCAACTTCTCATCCCGTCCCGCAATTGAGCTAGCTCAATGAACTATGTCCCCACGTGACCCTAGAAGCTAAACTGGAATTTTATTTTCCTGAACAAAATTTTGCCTGGCAGAGGCTTAGCAGACAAATTGAACTCACAAAAGTTCTCTCATTTGGTCCGTCGTACTACGCGATAGATACGCGCTACGTCCATCTTAAATACCCCACGACAAAACAAAGTGGCCTGGGTTGAAGCCGACTGGTCGGTACGTAAGATGGCTTTGCTTTTACTTTGAGGACCGCCTGGCAATTTTTGATGGGACGTAAACAGTAATTTGCAGCTTTACTCAACATTAAGGGGCCATTTCGGTGGACATGTGACTGAGGCTGTGTTGGGTGTTCCTCACAATTCGGGTGGCTTCGACTGAAAGCAAGCTCGCCGACTGGCGGAGGTGACCACAGGAAATCAAATCCTCGATTTCCCCTCTTGATAATGATTGCCACTTCCTTACACATAGTATTCACAGGATTTTCTCCTCATGACGGAGGCCGCAGTTTTCTGCCTGCAGCGATCTTTTCGAAGTCTCTGGCAAAAACAGTTTCGTGGAAGAGGAGGAATGGACGCTGAGGTACGGGGCTAGGGCTGCTTGAGAATGTTCTTTTCTAAAAAGAAGACGAAGGCACGATCACTGGGACGGTAGATTTGTTTGCCTTAGCTTTCGAACTCGAACTGGAGTTCATCATCAGAGACTGCTAGAGTGCAGCAACGTGTGAGCATTTATATCGTTGTTCCGTGCGGGGGGGGAGGGGACTACGTCCGTGGCTAGGTCTGGTTTGTGCCGCTTGGTCCACAATGGTCACCCGGAGTGGTGACGCCGTTTGTACTTCGCAAAGATGTGAGCTACGCCACCTGGTTGCGTGGGCGGAGTGCGTGATAACACGCAGGCAAATCAATGTATCTATTGGTGGGGTTGGTATCCGACACCCACGCCTCCAACAGTTCTCGCCCCGTTTTGTTGCCGGCTCGCGCCAGCATCCGCGATTTGTCGAAGTCGGACTCATGTCCTTCCTCCACGGTGTGAGTGGCGACTTGAGATAGTGGGTCACCTCTCCAAACGGCCCGTTTGTGCTCAAGTGTTCGTGAGCTAAGACGTCGTCCTGTTTGGCCTGTGTAGTGGCAAGGACAGTTATGGCACGGGATTTGATAGCAGTCTCTGATGATGAGCCCCAGTTCGAGTTCGAAAGCTAAGGCCAATAAATCTACGGTCCCAGTGATCGTGCCTTCGTCTTCTTTTAAACAAGAACCTCAGGTGTGCATATTCTCTTCCATTAATGTTCTTTTCTGGCCTGTGTTCGTACGGAAATTATCGTTATAAGCAATAACAAGAAGCCGTCGTCTCATACCGGTGGCATTGGGTGAAGAAATTAGGGAAATATTGTTAGGCTACGTTGTGGAGTTATTCCGTCACTCCCTATAACAATGGATGATTGTCTGAGATCAGACTGTCAGGTTTGCCAAGATCGCCTCTACTTTGTTCGCGTGCAGTGTTACTTGAACTAGCAAGTTCGTTGATCATTAATAAAACAACCGTCTTCGGAGGTCCTCTCTGAACCCCACGATTTCGATTGTATTTTTTTTTTACCAAGAAATCGTCCCTGAAAGGCGCAGATTTGCAATTGCCACAGCAGAACCCTACGTAGATGCCCTCTTAAACGCTGTATATCAGGCACATCCCTCTATCAAATTTACGGTGGAGATCAAAACGGCCGGTTCGCTCCCTTTCTTAGATGTTCTCCTAAGCAGGAGACCTGACGGGAGTGTCCGAAGAAGCGTCCACCGGAATAAAGTCTGGTCTGGACAATACACAAACTTCGCTAGTTGCATACCCCTACAACAAAAACAAAATCTAGTCCGATGTTTGGCACAAAGAGCTAGAAAAATTTGCTCAACAGATAGCATCGAGGAGGAACTTAGAAAAATACAGGACTTTCTTTGTGAAAACGGGTACCCGGACAGGTTTATTACAAAGAATATGGCCGAACGACCGGTAAAACCCGCCACACCGACGGCCGAAAAGAAAACTCTGTTCCTCAGAGTCCCTTTTCAAGGTGACGCTGCGAATGAACTCCTAAAGAGACGCCTTGATCAAGCTGTTTCGCGAACCTTCCCAACGGCAAGGGTTCAAGTATCCTCCTCTAATAACTACTTTACGCGGAGGAGGTAAGGATAAGTTGTCACCCCAGACCACTTCAATGTGCATCTATTCCTTCACTTGCTCCTGTGGAGCAGGTTATATTGGTCGCACGAGATGGGACTTATCCAAGAGAATAAGGGAACACCTTCCGGCATGGCTGGGAAAAGGCGAAACAAGGAGCATAAGCAGCGCCATTCTCGCTCATGTTGTCAATTCCAGACATCATGTAGACCCCAATGAAACGTTTTGTGCGATCCATAAGGTCCCATCGAGCTATCCTAAACCACTGGACCAGCGTCTGTTAGCAACAGCAGAAGCGGCCGCCATCAGGTTACGAAAACCAATCTTGTGCGCACAGAAGAACCACGTACAGGCTCCGGGCCTACAGTGGTCGAAGGTCGACTAACGCTGCAACTCTCCCCGCGCCCTTCCGCTCTCACCGCCGCCCCTGGCACTGACTGCTTTTACCCCCTCCCCACATTCCCACACCCAGCCTGTGTTTTAAGGCGAACTTTAATCGATTTACCTTATCACTGACGTGTTTTTTCTTCTACCCCTTCCCATATAATTGTACTGGCCCGACGAGAATTTATCGAAAGCTACGTATACTCACCACCTCGTCTTCTAAAAAGAACTCTTGGGGCAGTCCTTGGAACTAAGAGATCATCTTCTTCATCTCATTTGAAGTTCGAGCTATCGTGTTCTTCCTAAGTGGCTGGGCGTTCAGTTTGCTGAGGAACCCATCTACTTGCTCTCAGATAAACTGGTGTTTCGAAAAACCACTTTTGAATCCGACTTACTTAAAGAGATCTGGATTTTAGAGTAGCAATTTGGAGTAACAAGACTACTCAAGTAATGCTAGGCTACCTTTTAGTCACACAAACAGGGAATTCAGGCTTCCAAAGCAAAAGATGGGCCATGTCCCACCAGTAAGTCGCGGAAAACCTGATATACCTTACTGTCCCCGTGGCAAAGATCAACGCGGGTGCCTCAGGGGCAGACTTCGTGCTGGGCTCATCAGAAAAGACTTCACTTTCTCTCCCCTGTTGAGGCAGGCCGGATAGGGGCAAAATAATGGCATTCATTAGGACTGGAATCGTGTTTTTGATAATCTCATTCCTGAAGTCCTCACGTGTCGAAAGATTGCACAATGTTGCTGTGATTGCATCCTCCAGCCTTTTCCTGTATGTGGCGTTGCCTGAAGACGTGTCCACTCGAGCCTCGTCGAGCACGGTTGTTAGATTTGCAATCACGGAAGCCTTTCGAAGTTTGTACTAGACGGCAAGGACAAGATAAAGCAGTTACATTTTTTGCAGCAGCTGAGCGGTCTGTGCAAAATGAGAATTTCATTTCTGACCGGCTTAGCCAATGCGCCTTTCAGAAGACCGCGCAGGCCTAAGCTGACATCAGTTTGGGGGATTCCGTCATATGAACCACGAGAAACGCTTTAATTGAGATCTAACTTGGTAAGCCACGTGCTACGGCTCGCGAATGACTCGAAGTAGCTCTTTATCTGATTGGTTAGTTTGAGGACCAATCGGTGTTTCGTGCTGCACATTCAGGTGATGTGATGACGTGTGGATAGACCTACATATGATCTGTGTGGGAGGATGAGACCTCGAAATTTTTTCATTAAATACGGTCAGTATTCATTTCCATTCTAGGTTACAAACCGAGATATCACCACAAACTGAGCGGTGGATTTAACTGGTCTCCAAATATGGCTGTTTAACTAAACTGTAGGCCAAAATAAACCCCAACGATACCCAGGTGCTTTTAGGAACTAGGCATCAGGATTGCGCTTATTTTAGTAAATGTATGGATGAACGAATATAATACTGTTTTCTCGAAGTTTTTATTAGAGAAGGGCAAATGATATTATGCCTCCTAAAGCTATAATTGAAGATGGCGTCAAAAAAGAAATATGAATGAACGCAGGCTTCTACTAGATATCGATATTAACTGTACGCGACAGAACCGGTGGGTTATAGTCCTGCATGGCATATGTAGTACTAATCTGTAATGCTTTCAAGAACCTTGACAGCTTTTTAGGGGGAACTTCTTCACTCTATTGAGTATCGGTGAAGTTATACGATGTATGATGTGGCAGTTGTAGAGTTCTGAGTCCGAGTAAATCGAGCCGCGCCAGTCCTGGGTCGATGCTTCTAGAGAAGTGATTGGTTATCGGTCTCAACGTTAAATTTTTGGACGCATTGCACTCAGTAGGACAAGACCTACCCTCTTGAATGACGCAGGATAATATAGTCTTCACTAATAATTATACCGTTTTCCGCGTTTCCACCTAAACACTTCGTGTCAACCCTGTGATATTCGGCGAATTTACACTTATTACTTTGTTCAGTACGACTATATGCACACCTCATCTATCTGTCTTGGATTACTGTGGCCGTTTATGAGGCGCGTCGCCGAGCGCTAATCCATGCGTTCCGATGTCACTCTGGAGCCTAGGTAAATAGCAAGACCATAACCAAAGACCCTCTACATACGTACACAACCAGCGGACCAAGACATCTTCGAAATGGTTAAAATCCAGTTACAGAGAGAGAGAGATGTTTTCTAGAATGATATTCTGTTTGCAAGCGTGCAGGTCACTCTTCGAATTACGACCATATGCGCAAATCCACGGTAGTATTTTGAAGAATGCGTTTTCAAATAACACGTCTCTCTTTTGTCAACGAACGAACATACAGCCGACTTCTCATCTTTACAGCATGGGTTTACGGTTTACTTCCATCATTTGCTTCAAAGTGTAATTCATATTGACCCAACTGTGAAAAACTCGGCGCCTCGGTGGGATTCGAACCCACGCAGTAAGGGGAAGGCTTAAGTACAGCCACCGCTCTAACCACTTGAGCTACGAGGCCCGCCTGCTTGGGCAGTCAACTTACTGCATCAAATTTGGTGGATTACAGACGTTGCAGTTTGGTGGGCGGGTAACTCGATCCAAATGTGATTAAACTCGCGTCGTCCTGCGGGGTCTCATAGCTCAAGTGGTTAGAGCGTTGGTTGAAGTAAAGTCTTCCACTTACTGCGTGGCTTCGAATCCCACCGCGGCGCCGACATTTTCACAGTTGGGTCAATATGAATTATTCAAAATCTGCCAAAACATACATAAATCAAAGTGTAATTTTACTGTATCGAAACCGCCCCACTAATTGCAATTTGTTCTCTTAACTCTTGTATATTTTCCATTAATAAGTGCTTCTTTTATTGCGATTCAAAAAGTTGATTTTAGTCCCTCTCCGTGCTTGACGCGTGTACGTTCGCCGACTGCGCTGAACAGGCATACTAGTCGTAGGCGCCAGCTAATCGATCCGTCAGCTTCCCAACGCCGACATCAAACGTTCTCACATGCTTACTCAGTGCACTGGCGCTGACCTTGCTAGCGCGCACTGAGATCTGAGATTGAATCCCACACTTCTGTACAGAATGACCTTTCGCCTGTTTCTGCCATGTGCTGGCAGGCGGGACTCGTTCATGGCAACGCCTGTTAGGACTCAACTGTTGCCTTTCCTGCCGACGTCACTTTTAGAGCATTTTGCCGAACCAGAACCCTAATACGAAGTCGCAAAGCCTAGCAACTTCAACTGACAGGTCTCGCCGACACTGTCAAACTAACGGTTTTATTGAAGTCGTGCAGTCATTGAGGTACATCGAATGAAAACGAAGTAATATGATCGGTCCTTCATGTTTATTTTGGGGAGCGCCCTAGGAACGTTTTTCGTCCAACTGCTAGGTAGGCGGTAAAGCTCATCGACAAAGTTTCTGGACTGTGCTTATAGAAAATTTGGGCGAGGTTTGGTCCGCCAGCCTCACTTGAGTGATATCATATGGTAAGCTTCCTAAAAAAATTTGATAGCTGTGAATAAGCTGACTTTACAAATATCACGCATTTGCATCTTCCTTACTATTTTAATCCAGCGAGTGACTGTGTCATGGGAGAGAAGTGCTTATACGGCAGCCTCGGTTACTTTGGTTATCAGTTCAAACGCGCTTCCCTCCGCATGGTGCGATCCCTGTCTGCTCCCTCTTCATTATCCTACTCCAGGGAGTGGCCAAGTAGACTTGCTAATGGAATTGTTCCGAGGGTGTGGAACTCCGTCGGTTCCACTACAGCAGCCATGTACTGAGAATTACCACGCGGTACCCCCAGTGGCCTTCCAGTCGTGATTGCGCCCCCCATAGCCTCTTAGTCCAGCGAGTGGCTGTGTCGGGGATGGAGAGTGTGTACACGCCACCTTCACTCGCTTCCCTGCGCGTGCTTCGAGCTCCGCTTGCGCACTCTTTCTCTTCCTACTCCAGCGAGTGACGAAGTTAGGTACAGTAGGTGGGCTAACTCATGAAATATCAACCGAAATTCCAAAATGCGTTTTCGTTTCGAAAAGATTAATTAAGTAGGGTTGTAAAGATAACCATCCTTCAGCATAATTCTATAATAGTACAGTTACCCCAGGATGATGACTTTCGAATGAATTTCTTTTCGGTAGCATGCAAAAACTATACTCTTTAAAAAGTGACTACGTATGCTAGCAGGAGGTACTCCATAGGGTTTTCTGTTTGGAGCATAGCAGCTGTCTAGGAAGATGAAGCATGGAGCCGGAAGATGGTTTGCATTTTGTAAGACCTAAATAATTGTCGACTTTGATGGAAAAGATGCAGATGAAGTGGAAATACATTCAATAAATGTCTAAAAATAAAATATTTCTAGCCTTATTTTGTAGTGGGTGCCTTCAGTGGGCAAGGGACACAACTAGCCGAACTAGTCTGCATTGTATGTGCGTGCGAGCCGGCACAACCTGATGAAACCAAATTTTACGTGGCCAGTTTTCATGTTCTGTTTGGCTGAGCATACGTGATAAGTCACGAGAAGCTCATAAAACGATCGACGCTCTGGACACACAGGTCCAAAACAGCGCCTCACAGGTTCACAGCACGCGTTTATCGTGGCACAGAGAACCCGCATGCCAAAACCCGCCGTCATGCATGGTGAAGGGACGTTAGGCCTCCATGTCTCGTCAGCCACCGTGTTTAATTTCACCACCAGCTGGTTTACCTGTCCAGAAAGTCGGCTGGCAAAGGAAGGATGGAAAAGTGAATGACCTCGACACTGGGGAATCCAGTATCATGGCACACAAGTGCATCTCTGTCGATAGTAAATGTAACGCGCTTGAATTTATCATGCTGCAGTAAGAGTCGTGACCTGGAAGACTTGCGGTGGACTGGGTAAGTCGGTCCACCTTATGATTGAGCCAGGCCGTAATCGCTCCTTTTAACAGAAGTGAGTAACTGTCACTCTGCGGAATGATTCCGCTGGTTATCAGGCGACTGGTCGAGCACTTTCACGCTAGTCGTGATGACAGCCACGTCTCTTGTTGAGCATAATTTTCGCGAAATTGTATTCGGATTATCATTTTTATTTTTTATCAGTCTGAGCTTCGATAAATGTTTGTTTTAGCTAACCACTCACTGTGTTTCTGCGTTTATTTTTGGTTTGTGTGGAAGTTCAGGCTTCATTTCTTTTTTCCGCATGTTATCCAAATAGCCTTTTCCCTTTAAATGAAGTCTTTATGGCACTCAGAAATGTAAGATCTCAGTTGTTCATGAAGAAGCTTGGAACATTCTGTGGGGACCAGGTCCTGTGGCCCGTGTAAACGGACTGTTTAGCCTTGTCAGCCACTGAGTCTGAGTCCGCCTACGATCGTCTTGACATTGTCTAGCCCTAGGAGGCAGATGGGTGAGGGAGAAGAGAGTATGGTAGACTCTGAGCAAGTCTGTCTCACTATAAACTAAATCACGAGCAAGTCACCGACGCTGCTTGCACACTGTAGACCACATGCTGAACGTCATCTCTCGCAACGATAGAATTGCTCTCAGCACCAGTTCGCAGGTTGAGTTTGCTGTTTCAAGTCAACTCGCACAAGTCCTCGGCATGAGAAAAGCACATACTGACAGGAACTTACAACGACTAGCGGAGATGGCTGGTAGGACAAATTACGCAAGGCCCCGATGCTGTGCCGTCTGGTCTCCGCATCAGGTGATAACACTAGGTCGGACAGATTCTGGATTCCATCGAGATCTCTGAAGAGTAAAATATGCACCCCAGTAAGACTGTCCAGAGGTTACAAAGAAGACATCGTAAAGACCTGCCCTATGAACAAGCACAGAATGCACTTATTCATGAGACGGTGAATCAGTGGATTCTAGAGTTGGCAACCGAGCTGCCACGGTTATGCTCGTTGATGGCACTCATCTAGCGATTAGGTTGCTTTAAAATCGTAGAGTCTACAAATAATCACTTAAGTGGCTGTGAATCCAAATGTGTCAGGAAAGGCTCTTCATGTGTGGACAGTAGGCAGTTTTCTCCCTTTTAAACGTGTTTATGTGGAATGGCCGTTTCCGGCGCATTAGCCATCGTCAGGCAACCATACCCGACCCCGAGGGCGTTGGACTTATAACTGACAGTTCGCGAGGTTGAACCTCAGGTTTTGCACACCTCGGGGTTGAGTGTGATTGGCTGACGACAGCTAATAGGCCGAAATCGGCCACCCAAGTCTCTCTTATCTTTGTCCGTGATTTCGACCTGCTTATACTACACGCCGATTTGCGCCTGCTGGCGGGGCTTGAGAGAGAGAACCCCAAGGCATGAGAGAACGACTGAGTCCCGTAACGCGATCAGTTAGCACTCTTATACCACAAATGGCGGTACCCGTAGCTTGGTAGACTCGATAGGGAATTACAGTACGTTACCTATTTCATGAAATCTGAGAACGGAAACTGATGAGAGAACTTCTGGACACCTTTAACGTCAAGCATTCTGTTCCCTCATACACTTCCTTCAATAAAATGTCATTTTCTTGTGCACAAATTGTGTTTACGTAATTATGTCAAGTAAAATATCAGTAAATCTTAGCGAAAATGGACGTTGGAATATATTCGTGTAAGTTCCTATGCTAATACGCATTTGAGCGACTTTTTCATTGAAGGGATAGTAGTTTACCCGCGAGAGTTTTAATAAACAGATTTAGCCGAACATGAAAATTTATTTTATGTCCGATGTTAACCATTGTGATCAACCTGCTAACACAAAGGTTATTTTAAGAAAACTAGAGGTTTTATCAATTCCTAGATGTCTACTTAGCAGATCTGGGCGATTTGGTGCCCTAAAGTGCAGTGATAACGCAGATAGGGGTTCCTTCGTTAAAATGAGCTGAAATTGTTTTGCCTGTCAGTTCTATTTAAATTTATTAGGCACCCACCGACCTCATGGCATGTCACCTTATGAAGACATTTCTTCCTACGACGTCCCCATAGGTGAACTCAAGCAAAATCCAGCTTGTCTTGTTGAACCCCTTCTCATTTGCTTAAAACCAGTCAACAATAACTTGACTCACAGGAAAAATGTTCTGGAATCTACGTTCAGAATGTAGGCAGTTGACAAATTGCCATTTATGAAATCACACTACTTATTTAAGTATATTTGGATGTAAACTTCACTAAAACATTGTTATGAGACGTTATTTTATGTCTACTTTCATATTTACTGTGTTTTTGATATGCGAATACATCCTATTAATCTAAAAATAAAGTTTACTAAATTAGAGCCATTTCTGACGCTTTCGGGATATTGCGCTTTTTCTAAAAAAAATCGGCATTTCTAAACAACGCAACACTGCCTTTAATATTTTTTCAATGTTTTTAATTCTTGTTAACTTGCACTCAATTAACAGAGACATTGGACTCACGAAATGATGTCGGTTTGCGAGTGATTCGCAATCATTCGTAAAGTTCGACACATTAGGTCACTAACTGTATATATGATTTCGACATATAACCAGAGAACTGCCATTTAGCCACATTGCAAGAACATCGCTTCCCGATCGGGTTACGGGACATAGTGGCCCGCTGCTGCATTAAAAACCCGTGAGGACTGTATACTGCGCACAAAGGCGGAGTGGGATGAGCATGTTCCATAGCCTGATCGGTGAACACCCCTCCAACAAGTCTCGCCCTTGTTGTCGTGGATTCGAATCTCACAGAGTCCGTCAAGTTTTTCACAGTTAGGTCCAATGGATTATTTAAATCAGCAAGAATGCCAATTAATTAATTGAATCTGGCAATCATTGTGCTGGCTTCTAGATTGATCGCTTAGGAAATCCTGCTTGGGCAGTCAGCTTAATTTATCCAATTTGGTGGATTACATGCTTTGCAGTTGGGTGGGCGGATAAATTCACGGCTCTCCGAGGGGCCTACTAGCTCAGGTGGGTAGAGCGTTGGCTGCACGCAAGGCCTGCCCTTGTAGCAGCAGCAGCAGAAACACCGGAAAAATATGTGTATCTATGTCGAGAGTACGATTTGTCACCTGCAGAAACCACCCTCCGCAAAAAATGACTACTTAAGTATCATGTATTTTTCCTATTGATTTCCGATGGTCTTATAAATTCAATCATATTTTTCAGAAAACATGCACAAAATATGATTTCCATGGCTCATTTGGTGGGAAACCATATTATCTTCATATTTTATGTCAGAAGAAATAGTAAATTTAAGTTTTAAAAAACTTTCCCAATTCTCGAATAGTTTTCAGCCTGATCTGCCTTTGCATCAGCGTTTAGCAACTTCAATCTACAAGGTGCGTACTTTCCGCGCAAGGAATATTATACATTCCTCTATGCCTTTAAGAAGATATCACATAGAGTTCATAAGATTTTGCAATGGATCCGGACTGAGTTGTACGTTTTACGAGGAGCATTAGCAAACGGACATGTGTGGCCTTGCACGCATGGGCATCGCGCGGTCTTAAAAGTCTCATAATTAGAAACTCTCTTAAAACCTAAATACGCACTTTTTTCGAGCATAAAATATGAAAATAATATGATTTCCTACCAAATGAGCAAAGGAAATCATATTTTTATACATGTTTTCTGAAAAATATGTTTGAAGTTAAAAGGTCATCGAAAAACAATAGGAAAAATACATGCTACTTAAGTAGTCATTTTTTGCCAAGGGTTAATTTTATCTAAGGGGGCTGTGAATCCAAATGTGCCAGGAAGGGCTCTTCATGTGTGGATAGTAGGCGATTTTCTCCCTTTTAAACGTGTTTATGTTGGAATTGGTCGCAGCTGGAGGTAGTTGAGCAAACGGTCAGTCAGCGTAGCTAGAAAAATGACATTGTCGCTTTTTAATTTCCTGAGAAATTATCTATGAAGTGGGAGTAGTTCAGTTTATTCAAGGTCTATAGACTCAGACCGAGAATTGCCCGTGAGGACTGTATACAGCGCATCAAAGCGGAGTGGGATGAGCATGTTCCATAGCCTGATCGGTGAACACCCCTCCAACAAGTCTCGTCCTGGTTGTCGTGGATTCGAATCTCACTGACGCCGTCGAGTTTTTCACACTAAGGTACAATGGATTATTCAAATCAGCAAGAATACCAACTAATAAATTAATTGAGTCTGGTAATCATTCTGCTGGATTCTAGATTGATTGCTTAGGAAATCCTGCTTAGGCAGTCAGCTTACTTTATCCGATTTGGTGGACTACATGCTTTGCAGTAGGGTGGGCGTGTAAACTGGCCCAAATGTGATTAACTTCACGGCTTCCCGAGGGGCCAACTGGCTCAGACGGGTAGAGCGTTGACTGTACGCAAGGCTTGCCCTTGTTGCAGCAGCAGCAGCAGCAGCAGCAGCAGCAGGAGCAGAAACATCGGAAAAATATGTGTCTGGCCTGTTAGTTGGTATCTATGTCGAGAGTACGATTTAACACCTACAGAAACCACCCTCGGCAAAAAATGACTACTTAAGTAGCACGTATTTTTCCTATTGATTTCCGATGGTCTTATAAATTCAATCATATTTTTCAGAAAACATGCACAGAATATGATTTCCATAGTTCATTTGGTGGGAAATCATATTATCTTCATATTTTATGTCAGAAGAAATTGTAAATTCAAGTTTTACAATACTTTCCCAATTCTCGAATAGTTTTCAGCCTGATCTGCCTTTGCATCAGCGTTTAGTAACTTCAATCTACAAGGTGCGTACTTTCCGCGCAAGGAAAATAATACATTCCTCTATGCCTTTAAGAAGATATCACATAGAGTTCATAAGATTTTGCAATGGATCCGGACTGAGTTGTACGTTTTACGAGGAGCATTAGCAAACGGACATGTGTGGCCTTGCATGCATGGGCATCGCGCGGTCTTTAAAATCTCATAATTAGAAACTCTCTTAAAACCTAAATACATACTTTTTCCGAACATAAAATATGAAGATAATATGATTTCCTATCAAATGAGCAAAGGAAATCATATTTTTATACATGTTTTCTGAAAAATATGTTTGAAGTTAAAAGGTCATCGAAAAACAATAGGGAAAATGCATGCTACTTAAGTAGTCATTTTTTGCCAAGGGTGGATTCTGTAGGAGGTCAGAAAGAAGTGCATTCAAAAGGCGACATCCAGGCGAGTCCGAAATATCATAACGTTGTGCTGCATGATAATCAGTATAACAACCCCACTTAAGTAATCCTTCCTAGTCGGAAAGGCATTCGAGAATTTTGGCAAACATTTCATGAGATAGTTCACGCACTGTATATAACAGGGGCTAGACGACGCAGAATATACTACTTTTTTAGACTTATTTCGCATTCATCCAACCAGTCATAATCCCGGCCACCGCTCTGGACTCTATTTGACTTAATGGTGGTTATCAGTCAATATGGTGAAATTAAGCCTGATTCAAAGTTACAGGAACTTACGCCAGCTTTTCTTTTAACCGGGGATTTCGGTATGTTACATGATGAAAGTAGGCTGCTGCATTTCTACTAATAACGGGGTAGCTGTTTGTCAAACAGGCGATCAGCCTTTTGAGCTCATCATCCGGAATCGTTTCATGCTTCTCCCGAGGTTCAGGCGCCGGTATCTCTTCCTCTGTTTCCGTCTTCACTGAAAATGTGTAGATTTTAAAAACAACTTAATATAAATAATAAAAATCATTTCTTTACCGGAAAACTACTATATTTATCCAACGCTTGTCATTCTCCTGCGTCATTCAAATAACTGGCTCCAGGATACATTAAAACTGGCAAGCTAGTTAGTCAGTTTTACGCGTCCTCCACAAACAGGATCGTACCTGACGGCCAAGCCAAATGGTTTGCAAATATACCTATCGGAAAAAATCGGTCATACGTTTATTTGGCCTCATCCCTCCGGTCCTACTATAAGAATACAAATGGTTGAGAAATCCGGACTACATTTGAGTGGTGACAGCACCAACAGAAGCAGCAAAAATGATTGCCTAAGTAGCGCACACATTATAGGTAAAACCGGAACGTGGATTCTACTTGCCTGAAGTTCGAATGGAACGGGTGACATGACTTGACGGGATGGCTGACTGACCAGACGGACTCGAGGGTGGGGAAATGAGTATCATTTCAGTGACAAGCCCAGCGGTGGTGTCCTCTGAGTCGTGATAAATTTCACCGTCTTCCAAGTCGTTAAACGCATTCATCTCCCCCGCGTCATACCGCTCCGGGCAGGCATTG